TAGGCAGGGGCAGGGACGATCGAGGTTGAGGTGTTACCTGGTCCGAAACGCTGTGTCCGTAGACGTACAAATTAATCACTGAGGCTGTCACTGGATGCTACATATATTGTTGGAAGAGCATGGGAAGAGATGATGTGAAATAGCTGTAAAATGAGGATGCCATAATGTAGTACTGAAGCAGTGAGTATATATTTTTGTTTTGTAGTAGAATAAATTGTTGCAATGAAACATGTACTAATTGTTCATTATTTGTGGAGAATGATGACATAAATTCACAGACTGTGACAATGTCTTTGGTAGCACATGCTTATGTACTATAATTTGTAAGTGAGTATGATTGACAAAGGTAGAATAATTGTGACATTGGATGTTGCATGTGATTAAAATGTGGTAAATGATAGGTATCCTTGCAAGATCCTGACATTCATGTCTGCACACCACAGACCACAATAGGCATGAGGGCACAAATAGCTTGGGGTAGCTGAAATCCAGCCTGCAGACCTTTCATCAGATTACTTCAGTAGGCAGATTTCAACAAAACCTTGTGAGCATGGAGGTGAGGCACTTCTCTCAATATTGGGCTGCTATCGAACCCTCATATAAAGTGATTGATTTGCAATACTGAGTACTTCACAATGTATCTCTTGACTGACAAAACTGACATGGTCATGGAAAAGGAAGACATCTGATAATAAGTTAAGTTTTGGGGGAAAGTAAGGTTAAAGAATATGCCATGAGCAAGGCAGCTCACTGCATTTGGTGCAGTGTTGTCTCTGCTCCAAAATCTTTTCTGCAAGTGTGCCTTGCTTTGCTGAATGATCTGAAATCTTTTATTAAGTGAAAAAGGAGTTTTGTTCATGGAAGCATACATGAATCAGCCTACCAGTGTGAAAAATATGTAGCTAGTAAGAAATTACACATTCATCTCAGGTTTCATCTAGAAATGATCAACACAGGCCAAGTTTTATCATTCTCATCATTCCTATGACACAAATAAGTTACAAAAACCTATGTTCTTAATAATAGGTGTTGAAACAACAACAGCAAAACAGGTGATGCATAATAATAATTTATGAAAATCTATTTTCTAAATAATAGGTGATAAAACCCAGCAGATGCTTGTCATTGGTGTCAAGAATAGAACCACATAAGGATGAGTTTAAAGAAAGAATATCAATAGTGATGAAGTCAACTTGGACATGACAAAACACCAGTAGTCAAGATGGTTTAAAACAGACAAGTCATCAGGATTGGAAACTGGTATGAGAGGTGCATGAAGCTGTAGTCATGTGGAGAAACATGGGACCAGATAGGATGAGACAGGAGTGGGCAGGACTGTGAGGAACCAGAACACACCAGTAGGGACTGGACAGGAACAGACCAGGCAGGACAAGATTGGATGGAACTGGGCGTAACGAGATGGAACCAGTTGGGATGGGACTGGACCAGATCAGACCAGACCAGACCAGACCAGACCAGACCAGACCAGACCAGACCAGACCAGACCACACGTGGCCGGACGCGATCGGACAGCATCGAACGTCGAAAGGTCGAAACGTGGTCAACGTGGTCGAAAGGAACCGAACGGGACAAAACGGGACCAGACGAAACCAGAGAGAACTGGATGGAACAAGATGGGGTCAGATGGGACTGGAGGGGGGGGGGGGGGGCGGTCCAACCCCCCGCCCTCTCCTACTCCCAACTGAAGGGGGAACTACATCCCTGTATTGGGGATTATGGGTTCAGAGTTCTTATGCCAAGTTATTGACTTTCAGTATACTAGAAAAGGGACGGTTAAATAGTGCTAAAGGGCAAACGAGCATGTTATTGGCAGTTCTCGACGTTTCAAGCTGTTCTCAACGTAACGCGTGCGCTATCATAAACACTCAGTAGTGCCTAGTGGACTGCCTGCCGGCTTTTGTTCCTTTGCGCTTTTCGTCGTTTGACTTTTTTCATATCCCTGTCAGCTTGAATCCATGTTGTTTTTCATCCTTGTCCTTTTCCCGATTTGAATTTTATCCCGGTCGACTTTATTCCTTTTGTGTTTTTGTCTTTCGGCTGTTTAGCGATTCAGCTTTTAACCCAGTCGACTTTTGCCCTTGTCGACTTTTTTCGTTCGAAATTTTTTGTTCGACTTGTTCTATTCGACTTGTTGTCCGAACAACGGGATGGAGGTTTTATTGTGCTGATGACACACACAACTACGTCTGAACGGTTAACTCGTAATCCCTGGTGTTAACCACTCCATCCTAGACTTCATGTGCAACTTCTGGGGATGCGAATCAGTCAACCGTCACTGACGTTGCGCCAGATTTAAGCATTTAATTGCTCACATACGATTTTGGCCATTACACACCACGCATGTAAGAGTGGTAGAGCAGTAGCTTTGGCCACCATATTTACTGCTAACATTTTGTATTCTCTAATGATCATCACAAATCACAACTATTTCAGAAAAATGGCTTCCGGGGGAAGCTGGCGTCTGCATGAGATTCCAAATCCAATCATGGAAAAACTGTACAAGATTATGGATAGGACTGAGAAATGGAAGGAACTAGGTAAGACCCGAGAATTACATTTAATGTTGTATGTCACAATATTGAAACCGATGACTGTGTGGTGGATGCTATTTCAGTAAAGTATGTGACTTGTAAGTGTAGTTTTCATTCAGATGACTTGTGCAGTATATTAATGTCATGTGTGGGTGAGGCATCAATGCAGGCCGACTTAAAACGCACTGTCACGCAGATGTCAGCAATTAGTATCCGCAGTAACCTGACCGATCTTTAACGTGATTTAACAGGCTGTGGATATAAGTGATCGCCCTCCACCTTGTTGGAGCATCAGTACAGGCATGGCGTCTGACCTGACTCGCCGCGCCCAGCCGGCCAGTATTTGCAGTGGAGCCAGGACGACATTCAGTACCTGGTGTACCGCGAAAGACACGGCAACTCTCCCAGTTCCGCGGTGCTGCAGAAGTGGCTGCTTGAGGACCCCTCGGTGGACGAGCTGTTCACCATCCTCTCCAAGATGCGCTTCTACCAGGCCATGATCCATCTTAAAGATTACGGTGGGAATCGCCGAGGGCGGGATGTGACGTTGACTGCCTCAGTTGGGATTCCGGCGTTTCAAACGGCCTGACATTCGTTGTTATAATTGCAATGAATACATTGTTAGCCATTGGAATCCTTAGATGCGATCTTTTCTCACCTTTAGTAACATTGCAAAGAAGTGCAGCTCTTGCTCAAAAGCATGCGCGAACAGGCACCGGCTGGCCAGCGCGATCTGACCGAAACGGCCGAGCTACCTCACGGTGGCTCCGTGACGCACGCGTCGTGCTTGGCGCCGTGACCCGGCCCGGCGACGTGACGTGTGCGTGACGATGAGTGACGTGTCGGTGGCCGGCAGCGAGCCCACGCCTGCACGTGCTGCTGAAGGGCGAGGGCGGCAAGTGGGCGCTGCTGGAGACCGTGCGGCGCGGCGCACAGACCAAGCAGAAGACCTGCGACGGCGGCGGCGCGCCGGCCGTGCCGGAGGTGCCGCCGACCTGTCACGCCCCTTCCGGCGGGATGGTACGCCCCGGTCGTGCCCCCGTCCTGGGCGGGCTTCACGGGTCAGCCGTCGGCGCCGGCGGACGGTCGCGGGTGATGTGATCAGTCCTGGTGCGCGTGGATCGTGTTCGTCAGTGAGACGCTTTGCGCGGCGGAGAGAGAGCGAGCTAAACCAGACGCGTGTCTGGTGGCTGAATGCATGTAGATGCCCAAAACCGAACCATTGCAGCCAGACGCGGTAACTTACACCGATGGGTTTGATCACTACGATCAATGATCAGTGGGCGGAGCGGGGTGTGATGATAGCCCGTCGATAAGGGAATGTGGATAATGTGTGCACGAAATGACCCCAGCCGTCGGCATGGCTTAAGCCATGAACATTATCATAAAGGGAAAACGGGTGCTCTACATTGTAGAAGGCGATGTTAAAAGTGGTCTGTGTATTGATGTTATCAGCATTTTTGGGACCCATTAGCGTGCGATCGTATTATCGTGTTCTGTAGGAAATGCCAATTCCAATTCACATGTATCGTGGGAACAATCTGGCGGCTTATGTAGGCATTTCGTATGCTGGTGCACCTCCATATACTAACATGCACCACCAGTACTCCTGGGCAGCTGTTGGTAGTGGGTGCCGTGCCATACTAGAATGCCCACGATATATGGGGATGACGATCCGCTGGTCCTGTCTGTTCTGCAGGCAGCAGCAGCAGCAATGCCCACACCTGATTTGAACTTAAATCACAGCTTTACAAAGGACATGATGACCACCAAGCTGCAGGCGGACGAAGTGGCCCGCCTGCTCGATTCCAAGTTCGGCAAGATGGAAACGAGGTACAGATTTGCATTGTTATAACGGCGCTTCCTAGAAAGAGCTGTTTCGGATGTATTTCGTTTTTTAAACTACACATCGGTGAAGCGATCGTGCGATGGACAAGTAGCAGACAGATCTCGCATTAGTGCCATGTCATTTGTCGCATTGGCGACTCTTAGTCGTTGGTCAAAGCCTTTCAGGTTCCGATGGCATCGTTCGCGACGTATGCTCTCTCTCAGCATCAAGACCCGAAGTTTCTGCTGTGTTCTCGCCCGAGACCCCTCGCCGTGGACCCGGCAATTGCCGTCGGCCCTTGACCGCGCTCGGGTCGCCTCTGACGTCACCGTGCCGTTGCCTCGCTCCAGCATCGTCTCCAGCACCATGAACAACGTCTCAAGGCCGGGTACGGCGCTGCCAGCGATGACGAGCGGCGCCGCGGGCCCGCGGAACGACCGCCAGCGGCCGCCGTCGCCGCCAGAGCTGGCCGTGACGTCGGCGTCACCAGCACCTCCGCCGGCGGCAGCTCCGGTGGCGACGGCCTCGCCGACGCCGGTGCCGGCAGCTCCGGCGGCGGCGGCCTCGCCGACGCCAGCGCCGGCACCGCCAGCAGCGGCAGCGGCAGTGGCAGCGTCACAGCCGCCCGCCGCCGCCGCGGCGGAACAGAAGATTCCCAACAGCTCCGGCGGGCTGGACGAGACCGAGGTCAAGCGCAAGTATTCGCAGGGTAGGTGTGCAGGACAGGGATGGGGATGGGGACACGGTCGCAGGGTAGGTGTGCAGGACAGGGATGGGGATGGGGACACGGTCGCAGGGTAGGTGTGCAGGACAGGGATGGGGATGGGGACACGGTCGCAGGGTAGGTGTGCGGGACAGCGGTGGGGATGGGGACACGGTCGCAGGGTAGGTGTGCGGGACAGCGTGGTGGGGACACGGTGGGATGGGACACGGTCGCAGGGTAGGTGTGCGGGACAGGGATGGGGATGGGGACACGGTCGCAGGGTAGGTGTGCGGGACAGCGGTGGGGATGGGGACACGGTCTCAGGGTAGGTGTGCGGGACAGCGGTGGGGATGGAGACACGGGTCTGCGTGCCCGTGGTCGGGGTGCGGTCCCCCTCGGCTGGACGTGGCCGGGGAAGCGTCGCAATGAGCGATAGCTAAGCCGGCGTGCTACATTATGCTGGCGGCTTTCAGGTCAGCGGTGCTTTCAACTCACAAATGTTCGCACTAATTATTTGTCTCGTGCTGTGATGGGATCAGTACTCGCAGCGTATAGCTTACTGTGCGCGCTGCCACGCCACTGAAGTATCCCGAAGTATGGGATATGCGCTCTCCAGCTTTGAGCCGAATGGGTTTCCCGAGACGCCGTGCAAAACTATGACACATTCGTCCATGGCGTAAGTTTCCTGCAGCTATCCAGAATAGTGGACGCCTTAGGTGTGAGTCAAGCACATATGTATTCGCTGCCGCCCCGTGGCACAGTGCCGCCGCGCCACTAGAATACCGCCGAAACGGGGAAAAGTTCTGCTGGCCAATAACCCGTTTGCAGCTTAGTTCGGTACCTGATCGGGGCTTTGCCGTCTTTTTGACCATCCTTATCTGCTGGATTTTTGGCCGTGCTATTCCCGGACTATTGATCGGACTTTGCACGTTGGAAGCTTTACTCTGGGACCGGAAGGCTCAACCCTGTTCCACTGCTTCTTGAACTCAGACAGCTGCAGAACATTGTTCCAGGAAAAGTTGATCAGCCGCGTGCCGTGCGCCGTTTCAGACGTGTACAGCTACATGGATCGACTGGGAAACATACCGCAGATCGCGTACAAGGAGCTGGAGGCGGGCACGGACGGCTGGAGCCAGCACCGCGTGCTGGGCTCGGGCGGCTTCGGCACCGTGTACCGCGGCACCTGGAAAAACACCGTCTGGGCCATCAAGCGCATCACGCAGGTGAGCAGCGGCCGCGCACCGGCACACGAGCGGCAGCGGAGTCCGTTATTTCGGGGGGGGGGGGAGGGGAGACGGTGCGGCCACGGTACTGCCGCAGCGGGGGGGGGGGGGGGGGCGCTGGGGTAGAGAGAGACGGTGCTGCTGCGGGGAGGTGCCGGGGTAGAGAGATTTCTGCTGCGGGGAGGTTCCGGGATGGAGAGACGGCACTCACGGGCCGTGCAGGGAGGTGCCGGGATAGAGAGACGGTACTGCTGCAGCGAGGTGCCGGGTTGGGGAGCCTGCACAGCTATGGGGAGACAAGTGATGAGAGACGGCGGTTAGGGGAGACGTGAGACTGAGGTGACTGCGCTTCTTTAACAGCAGCCAATGCAGCAGGTATAAGTCCATGGCTCCGATAGAGCTGGTTAGCCACTGCTACTGCCGTCATGGCTTGAGTCACGATCTAGACGCGCGTCTAACTACCGCGACCGCATCACTGTTGCGTATCGTATGCCCTTTTATGACACTGCGTGTGACAAACATTCACTTAGAGGCGTTAATCGCAATAATTTCGGGCATCAATCATATTGTGGACAACCGAGGTGTTGCGTTGAGCGCAGAACATGTGATGAGGTGATGCAAATGCATTTACTCAATTCGTTGCTCTACGTGCGATCAACCCCTGCCGACGAGCAGATGTCGCGGAGTTACGTTGTAGCATGACCCTGACGTGGCTGTGAACGGCTCAGACTTTGGACCGCCCGGGGCCGGGATCAGACGGCGACGACGGCCGTGACCCGTGTGACCTGACCTGAACTGACCTGGTGGTCGCTATGCGCAGGCGGCCACTGGCCGGACCGAGGCCGAGCAGCAGGAGCAGATGCGCCAGACGCTGGAGGAGCTGCGCATCCTCAACTCGTGCCGACATGACAACGTGCTGCCCCTCTGCGGCTACAGCATCTCGGGCCCCGAGCCGCTGCTGCTCTACCAGTTCATGGACAACGGCAGCCTGCTGGACCGCATCATGTGCCGGGTGAGGGTGGACCCGCGGGCCGGCAGGGTACCGCCGGAGGCCACGGCACGTCGCCGAGCTGGCGGGCCGCGCGGGCGGACCCGCGGGCCGCCAGGGTACCGCCGGCGGCCACGGCACGTCGCCGAGCTGACGGACCGAGCGGGCGGACCCGCGGGCCGCCAGGGTACCGCCGGCGGCCACGGCACGTCGCCGAGCTGGCGGGCCGCGCGGGCGGACCCGCGGGCCGCCAGGGTACCGTCGGAGGCCACGGCACGTCGCCGAGCTGGCGGGCCGCGCGGGCGGACCCGCGGGCCGCCAGGGTACCGCCGGCGGCCACGGCACGTCGCCGAGCTGACGGGCCGCGCGGTGCGTCCTCAGGTAGGGTGACCGGGTCCGCGCTATGCTAATCTTGAACCAGCGGTGCTCGCCCAGCCGCCTGTTGAGTGACGTGGGCAGAGTTTACTAGCTCCCGTCACTATGTTACACACGTGGGTGACTCGGAGGACGCCGGTCGCTGGGCAGGGCCGGCGGCCGTCCCGGCGCGCGCCGTGGATCGCCGTCCGGCTCTGCTCACTGTGTGGCTACCTTCCGCTGACCTCAGCCGTCTTCAGAGGGGCTCCCGACCGCTCTCCTGGCTGCAGCGGCACAACGTGGCGCGCGGCACGGCGCGCGGTCTGCAATTTCTGCACACGCGCGGCACGACCCCGCTCATCCACGGCGACATCAAGAGGTGGGCGCGGCATCCGTGTGCCGCCGGCGGTGGCGGCCGCCGAGCGCTGGTGAAGGACTTGGGAGCGGGATGTGGCTCAGTCTGTGCGGCTGTAGGAGGTCAAGGATAGCGAAATGAAGCTTAAAGACACGCCCTGAATGCGACCTGCTTCATGTGAGGAAGCCTGTTGTCGAGGCCCATCCACGGCTTGTATCACCTCAAATAGGTCCTCAGATCGGTGCCATGGTTGCTGAAGCCATCGCGATAACCGACGCGCCGTTTTTGATGCGACTCTTGTGTCGCATCGTTAAGCAACCTTTCGGTTTACATGCCATAAATTTATTTGCGATTCTCTGCCGCTGAGATCAGTGGATCCTATTACCGGCCCCGGTCTGTCTCCACGTCGCATTGACGCTGAAGGGCGCAGTGGCCTGCCTGGTCCTGGTCCCTCACCTCTCGACGCTGTGATCCGCTCCGCAGCGCCAACATCCTGCTCGACCACCACCTGGAGGCGAAAATCGGCGACTTCGGCCTGGCGCGCGAGTTCCGCAGACGCGCCACACGAGTCTGACGGTGACCCGGGTGCACGGCACGCGGCCCTACCTGCCCGACGAGTACCTGCGCTCGCGCCGCCTCTCCGAGAAGGTCGACACGTACAGCTTCGGCGTGGTGAGTGCGCCGTGTCGGCGTCCGGTGGCCAGTGGGGTCCGCTGACGGGATGCCGAGGTCCGGTGGACAGTGGGGTCCGCTGACGGGATGCCGAGGTCCGGTGGCCCGTGGGGTCCGCTGACGGGATGCCGAGGTCCGGTGGCCAGTGGGGTCCGCTGACGGGATGCCGAGGTCCGGTGGACAGTGGGGTCCGCTGACGGGATGCCGAGGTCCGGTGGACAGTGGGGTCCGCTGACGGGATGCCGGGGTCCGTTGGCCAGTGGGGTCCGCTGACGGGATGCCGAGGTCCGGTGGCCAGTGGGGCCCGCCGGCAGAGTGTCGGCTCCGCTGTTGGCTGTGTCTAATCCACTGGCAGGGTGTCTGGTCCACCATCAGGGTGTCTGGTCCACCACCAAGGTGTCTGGTCCACCGTCAGGGTGTCTGGTCCACCGTTAGTGTGTGTGGTCCACCATCAGGGTGTCTGGTCCACCATCAGGGTGTCTGGTCCACCGTCAGGGTGTCTGGTCCACCATCAGGGTGTCTGGTCCACCGTCAGGGTGTCTGGTCCACCGTCAAGGTATTAGATCGCATTGACAGTGTTGGGTTGCTCTGGCAGGGCATTGGTTCGTCGCTTGAATCAGATAGTACAGCTTCGCAGCAGACACTGACTAGCGAGGAATCTCATTCCCAAACCATTTCTGCAAGACGTTAGATCAAGTTCAAACAAATATTGCCACTATTTACGCACTGCTGTACTTGTATGTACCGCATTGCTTCGCAGTTTGTGATGTTAAACGTGGGTTGCAGGTGCTTTTTGAAATAACGACGGGCCTTCCTGCCTACGATGACAAGCGTCCGATCAAGATGCTGGTGAGTACCATTGGAATATCATGATCAGCTCGTCACTGCCGCATTGGATTATCCACACACCGTTGATTACTGACAGGCTAGGCAGGTGTTTCGTGCTGTCCTGGCGGCCGCCACGTACTTGCTCGCGCCTGCCCGAGCCACGGCACGTATCCGTCTCTGCGGCCGCGTCGTGTACAGCAGTCCTGGCTTTCAGAAAACGCTGGTGGAGGAGACGACCGACAAGGCATCGCTGATGGACCGCAAGGGAGGCAGCGCCGACGTGGACATATTCCCGGCGCTGCTTCGCGTGGGGGAGGTGAGTCGACATCTGGGCCGAACGGCCCGGGCCCGGTGTACCGAGGGGGCGTCCCGACAGGCGCTGTTCTCCACGTGGTGCTCGTGCTGGAGGTGGCCGCGCTCGGTGGCGTCAGTCCGCACTGAAAGAGCTACCTGCAGCGTAACTTAGAGCTACCTGCATGTGCTTCCGTCTGTAGCTGGGTGGGGACGGCAGTGCGGCGGACACCGGCTCCGTCGGCGCCCCGCCCGGCTCGCCCGTGACTTATGACCTGTGACCTGTGACCTCGCACCCCTGCCGGCAGCTGTGCGTCAGCCGGCGCGCCAAGGAGCGGCCCGAGATGGTGCAGGTGCTCACCGAGCTGGACACCATCACGCAGGCCAGGAACCTGGCGGCGCGCGCGCAGCGTGAGTGCCCGCCGGGGCCTGTCCTCGTGCCGCGCCCATCGCTCCGGTGGTAGATCTCCGGCCCGCCCGTGCCCGGATCCTCCGTCCCGTGGCATGCTGTCCGGCCAGGTGCCGCTGCACGGCGTCAGCGCACCAGTGGACAGAGCTGTCTGTCTTGCTACCTCAGTGCATGATCACTGCCCGTCGCTCTGCCCGTCGCTCTGCCATCAGGATTACCGGTGCATTTATCGTTTCGAACTGCATTTCGTGAATCACCTTTATTTTGAATAAATATTACGTCTTGATTTCCTTCATATTTTAGTGACTTTTTGGCTGCAAGTCCATATTCTGACTTCGCGTAGTGACAGAGTATCGCAAAAGGCCTGTGTGCTCGCAAACCTTAGCCCACCCAGGGGTTCGCTCAACCTGAGTCAGCGGTACAATGGCCTGTCTTCACGTGCGGTGTGGCGGCAGGCATATCGGTGGAGGAGGCGCCTTCGGTGGAGATGTCGCCGCTGGAGCTGCAGGTGCTGATGGACCGGCGACAGCAGGACGGTCGTCAGCTGTCGCCGCGGCCCCCGCAGGTGAGGAGGCCGGCGCGGCCACGCACGCGGGGAACGAGGCAGAGCTGCTGCCAGCCGGCTGGGGGCCACGCCGTCAGCGTGGGGCGGCGCCCCGCGACCGCGTGACGTCACGTGACCCGTCAGCTGCCTGGCTGAGTCGGCAGTGTGCCCTCCGAGCGAGTGCACAGCATGTGCGCTCCGAGGGCAAGGAGCCATGTTTGGCATTCTGAAGCACAACACACCAGTTTGTCTTTGAACAGCAGCTGCGTGCAAACCGGACAGTTTGGGGCGGCAGCGGCACCCGTCCCTCTCCTTTTTCGGACGGACCGGGGAGCTGGTCCGCAAACATGCCTGACCAGGTGAAAATCTTGGCATCACTTCGCGGGCCGCGGCTGAACGGGACTGTTTGGCGTGGCCGCTTTGAGAAGGCGTGGGAGGTGGGGGAGCATCCGGGAGTCCAGTGTCGTATTTATTTACTGCTCAGTTCAGCACGTCACAGCGTCGGCATGCAATCTGCGGTGCCAGTGTGTGTATGTCCCATCGTCACCGGAGCGGCAGTGATCAGCGCACGGCGACTGGTCCTACTGTGCTCACCACCCGCCTGTCGGTTCCAGCTGCATGCGAGCGGCAGTCCCCAGTACACGGCGCCCGGCCTGAGCGCCTTCAGCGCCGCCACAGCGCCGCCGCCCTACAGCGAGGTGGTGGGCACCGGCTCCCGCTACGCCGGCGGCTCGCCGTCGCCGCCCGTATGGCCCGCGCCACAGCCGGCGCATTGGCAGGCGGCGCAGTATTCGCGTCAGCTGGCGCACTCGCCGCAGCCGCCGCAATGGCAAATGGCGCAACACTCTCCGCAGCCGGCGTACTCGCCGCAGCCGCCGCAGCGCCACATGGCGCACTCGCCGCAGCCGCAGCAGCCGCAGCAGCGCCAGATGGCGCAGTCACCGCAGCCTCCGCAGTGGCAGCCAGTGTACTCGCCACAGCCGGCACAGTGGCCGACGGCGAACTCTCCGCAGCCTGCGCCGGGTGCGGGCCCGCCCTCTCTGCAGTGGCGGGGTCCGCCGTCGCCGGTGGGGGGCGCCCTGCCGACGGTGCTGCCGCACATGCTGGAACAGTCGTCGGCCGGCGAGGCGGCGCCGGAACCGTCGCTGGGCCCGGCGCCGCTCCTGACGGCGCTCGGGGTCAAGAGTGGCTCCTCCCAGGCGTCCGGCGCGCTGCGCGCCGACTCGCGCCTCTCCACGGGCGGCACGTACACGGACGTCTCCGAGACCCAGTGACGGACCCGGAGGTTCAGCGAACGGCCCGGAGATCCAGCGAACGGCCCGGAGGCCCAGCGAATGGCCCGGAGATCCAGCGAACGGCCCGGAGGTCCAGCGACGGATCCGAAGGTCCGGAGAACGGCCCGGAGGCCCAGCGAACGGCCCGGAGGTTCGGCGAACGAAGCCCGGCGACCGCCCCTCAGGTCCGGCGGTAGTTCTGAAAGTTCCTGTTGCTGCCACCGCGGCCACTGACGTTTCAGTGACTTCAGTGCATGCTATCACCGTTTGGCTGTTCGCTGTCGTGTCTCCAGGGTTGACTGCTCCCGTGACTTCGGAAGCCCTAGAACCGGCCGCTGCCCGGGTGTGTGCATATTCCCGATCTATATTTTTGTATATATTTTTGGCATACTGTATGTAACATACAGCTGACCTGGTGTTAAACAGGCCTTGTTTTAAGACAGACCGTGGTCGCGTAGACGTACGAACGGGGTCCGTGGGTGACATAGCACCCCCACTGTCGGAAAATGCTGAACACTAACCCTATGCCGACGAATATACAGATGTACATGTGCAGGAGAACACATGAACATGCGGCGAACATGTGTCCCTTAACATGTAAACCACTTCAGTCTTTGCGCAGGTCTCATATGCGGTACAACTGGTGTGTAACGGGAGCTTCTAGTGACGCTAGGGAGCCAAAGAGGCCGCGGCGGTGTCGCGCCCAGTGCCGGTCGTGAATGACTTGTATACATTTTATGAGCGGATATTAGCGATGTCGGCTGACGAGGGAGACCGTTTCAAACGCGAAACTGCGGGCGAGGGGTAGCGCTAAGCACCGCATGGGTGACGTCGGGTTGTTGTGTTTTAACCGTGTCCTTAAACATACTTTGGTCACAGCGATGTCCGAGCTTCTACACCTGATATGACCTGGGGTATATACGTCAGCTCTTTTTCATCCTGAACAAACGGGCGCACTCTTCGCTGAGACGGATTGCTTGGCGGGGTTTGTGCTCACAAGTTGTGATATGATGTGATTAAACAAGATAATAGCTTACGCTTAAATAAACGGTATATTTTCTGAAGGCGTCATTAATAACAGCACAAACGCATTACAGCCTGTTGTGTTAGCCCCAAGCGAAAACGCGAGGCGGAGCGCAGCCCGTCCAGCCGCGCAAACCGGCGGCGGCGGCGGCGGCGGCGGCGAGGGCTACTAGAGTGCCGAATCGCCCTCCCGCACCTCCTTCAGGCTGAGCAGCTCCATCTGGCCGCGGCCCTTGGTCTCGGCCCGGATCAGCTCGTCCACCTCCCTGAAGTGGCCCGGGTCCAGCAGACACACCTGCAGGCCACAGGGTGGAAGAGGAAGGCTGTCAGGTCGAGTGCACAGACCCTCGGTGCCGAAGCGCAAAACGTGGGCAATGAAATTGTTCATCGCTCAGCGGATTGCTGCGCCCTGGCACATCGTTGGCTGCTGATCTGCAACCTTAAGGCAGAACCTACATCAGTACACTCTAGACCTACACCTTCGAAACTGCCCTTCGCGTGGCTTGTGATTTTCACGTCTCCATGTACACCATATGCTCGGTCCCGATACCGAAGAGGAGCGATGCAGCAATGCCGACATGCTGGGCCCCGCTGGGAAACGCGGCCCTTCAACGCCCGACACGTTACAAGCCTACTTCAGGGTCAACGACCAATCAGAGTACCACACAGCCCATCTGGCTTTGCCAGTCGAACCCCATTCCGAGCTGCCCACGCCGCCTCTGCGCCGGTTCAGCAGGCGCCGCGAGCCGCGCCGGGCACGCACGACCCGCACGCCTTTACATCAGCCCTGGCGGTGCGGGTCGGCGTCGCAGGCGGCGCGTGCCGCCCCTCGCAGCCGTCCGCCCCGGCCCCGCGTACCATGGTGAACTGTCCGTCAGCGCAGTCGTCCTCCTCCACCGAGCTGCTCATCTCCCGGATGCGCTTGCGCGCGTGCTTGCCGTCTCGGGCAGGCAGCCGGACGCGCAGCCGCATCTGGGCCCGCTCGATCGGCATCACCGCGCCCAGCTGCTTGATGACGTCCAGCGCCTGACGGCGGCGGCGGCGGCGTCACCAGCTGACAGTGGCATCGCTAGCACGAGGTCGGCGCGGCCCGTCAGCTCTCATCAATTCGCCGGCGGTGGGTGGTCGGTGTAATCCATTCGCCACTGTTTGTGCTGTCGGTTCTCCGTGGGTGCCATCGTGCTGTGTTCCTAGTGACTGCCCGGACAATTAACTGCTCTCGTAAAAGATAGCGGTGGCACGTGCATGCATTAGGTAGGACGCTATGGCTGGTGGCTAGTTTACCAATGAATCACGGCCATCGTTAACAGCCACCCAGTGACAATGCCGTGTTGCTCGCGTACGTTCATACCAACGCATCGAATTCCAACGATTCTGGGATGACAATGAGTGTCGTGCCAGATGACCTAACCGGTGACCAGTCCCGCATGTGTAAACGATGTCATGCTTAGTGTTGTCTCGGCGCAAGCGCAATTGCACATGGGTTGACAGCGAGTTGACACTGACAAAATGCATGGCCTATCCACAAAAAGCTCATTAAAGGCATCAGCTCCACAATGGTTGATAAGAGCACGAGATGAAGGGAGCAAGCGTCTTACCTGCTGCTTTGAGTTCCGGTTTGGCTTGACAGAGAAGTGGATGTCTTTCATTCCCTTCTCTATCATAGTGACTGGGTATGGTCTCTTCGTTTCGGGATTTACACATTTGTCTGAAAGCGAAGTCAAAAGTCACTCATCTTTGGCTGCTGAGGCTCGGACCACCAATGTTCATGGTGGATTCCGTAAAGCCTGCTTGGATGGAAACAATAGCTGATTAAGTTCAACGCTTTGTGCTCTGCAAGTTCCCAACACCTCAAGGCATATCAGTGCTTCCCTAGTCCACGGACAAACCCAACAACGATAGGGGATCTGTGCCATATGGAAGACTTCCAGCATACCTGCTACAATTGTGGCGATATCCTTGAGAGAAGACTCAAGCTGGGCGTGCCGCTCTTTTTCCGAGACCTGCAACTCCCCCTTCTCCAAAATCTCCAGACACACTTTTGTAGAATCATCTGTGCCAAATGCTTTTTGGAGCTCTTCTTTCTTGGCAACTTGTCCCTTTGAGACATTCAAAAACACTGTGTGGCTCTGAAGAACTTCATCGATATCTTTCTCACTGGAAATACAGACACACAGTAGAACACAACACACACCTATCAGTCAATTGATGAGTCAGGAGAAAACATGTGAGAAAATGATAGACATGATATACACATATGCATTTCATACATATATCTGATTGATGCATGATGGATGCAAACATATCAATGAAACAGAACACAACTCAATGAACAGATAACCCTGTCCTTCAAGCATCCTAGCTTTGAGGTCCTAGACTGGCCTCATGCACAACCGGGCCTGAATGCTGACAACCTCTGAGAGGTACACCATATCACCACCGCAGTTCTATGGTGATGACATGTGCTTTAGGGTATGCAAACTCCTCTGGTCATTTGATGCTCATGTTATAATTTTGCATAGCCCACCAGTTAGGACAAGAGCACATCCTATAGTTTTTTAAAAGTGCATATACCACATTTGTACATAAATTTATGATGAAAAAGTAACATACTGATTCAAATGAAATAAGATTGAAGTCAACAAGTACAATTTTCCTAAGTATTATGCTGGATTTAAATTCCTAGCCTTTTCTATGATTCTTAACCATATTTTACCATCCTTTTTGATTGGTTGAATTGGTTGATGAATGAATGATCATTGAACTTGCAACAGAGGAATCATAAGCTTGCTACCCTGGACTGCAAACTCCTCATCCAGGCCATCTGATACACACAAATTACGAGCATCTGGCAGGCATCGTCAGGTTAATGGACTGGTCCTAGATGAAGAACCGCAGCCTCAAAAGCACCTGCAAGTTCTTCAAGGAGAGAATGTCAGGGCTACTGAGGTTTGCTCCTTCAAGAAAATGATAAGACCAAGGAACAACCTGTACATGGGCCCGAGGGCCATGCGGCTAAAGCAGAGTACGGAAAGACTACAGCATACACACATGAGGACAATGGATGTTCTGGACCATGCCAGGTTTGTGCAGCATCATGATGACCTACGGAAGTTGACCAGAGACCTTCAGAAAGAGTATGAGATGAAACTGGTAGCAGACCCCAAGAGAAACCCTTAAGGCCTTTTGGAGGTGTGCCAACTCCAGACTACGCGCAAGATGCAGGGCAGAAGACCTTCTTGACGATGACTGAATGCTGACAAGCAGCCATGAAGGAAAGCCGAGTGTTCTGTGTAAATTCTTTGCCAGCGTTTTCACAGGCGGAAGGTCTAATGCCGTGCCCGTGATACATCGTAACTTTAATGGGCCGTTTCTGGATGACGTGCACATCTCTACCCAGACAGTGGCAGATAACTTGACGGCACTGAAGACCTCGGGTCTCTAGGCCAGATGACGTACACCCGAGGCTGCCTCGTGAGTCTGCAGACGTCCTGCCAGTAACCATGAGCACGCTTTTCCGAAAATCATTGGCATCTGGAAGGCTACCCTAGGTGCGGAAGCATGGTGGAGGTAGTCCCGATCTTCAGGAAAGGTAACCGACAGCCCGCAGCGAGCTACCGCGCAGTGAGCCTTACTGCCGCTCCCTCCAAGACATTCGAATCCTTCGTCAGAGACACCTCAATTAACCACATCTGAGAATCTTCATGCAGGCCAGCATGGATTTCTCCCAAGGTGGTCCTACGTCATCAGCTTTTAGAAGTCGTGGAAGAATGGAGCGCCACGATAGAGGATAGGGAGCTGGTGGATGTAGCATACCTAAACTTCAGCAAAAGCCTTTAATTGTAACTGTCTGTCAAACTACAACTGTCTGGTCTCCACGCCCCATGCTTACGGTGTGGGAGGTAACTTGCTGTGCTGGATCAGGGCCTTCCTTACCCACCGGCTGCAGAGAGCACGAATCCAAGGCTCAAAGTTGAACTGGATCGACGTCGTAAGGAGCATCCCGCAAGGGTCCATGCCTGGACCAAGACTATGCATAATATTCGTGAACGACCTACCAGATCACGTGTGAAGCATGGTCAAGATGTTCGCGGACGACACCAAGACACATTGCCGTGTCCCAAGCCCCTGACTGGGTCTCCTCCACAGGTTAACCTCGACACCCTGGCCAAGTGGTTAAAGGAGTGCCTGCTCCTCTTTCATGCGATAAAGTGCAAAGTAATGCACATCAGGAACTGCAAACCGAGACTGACCTATTCCTTGAACGGCACCGAAATCGCAGACGGACCCAACGAGAAGGGTCTCTGGATCTTCGCGAATGACAGGCTAGGGTTCCATGTGCAGATGGTGGAGGCAATCTCAGAGACCAGCCAGATGCTGGCGGTCGTGAGGGGTCGTTTGCCAACATTGATGTTCACGTGCCGCCATTGCTTGTCAAGACCTTATTATGCCCATATTTGGAGTCTGATGACATCATCTGGGGCCTTATTTGGCAAACTGGAACTGGGGCTGCTGGAGTGGGTTCAGTGATGAGTAACCCATCTTGTTCACAAAGTGAGGCCCCAGCCATACCCTGAGAGGCTCAGACTCCTCCAGCTGCCATCACTGTACTACCTGCAGGGGAGACATGGTTACAATGTATCAACCATTTCGCTGAGGTAGGCAGCCATTTGCTAAGAAGAGGTGTTCCTGATAAGACACAACTGGGAGGTGACAGGAGGACACCAATGCAATTTAATAAAACCCAGAGCTAGGAGCTCAGACTCTCACCCATAGTAACTTGTTCACCATGTGGGTCATCAATGATTGGAACTCCTTTCTGCACCCAGCCAATCATTACCTCAGTTCAATAGCTTAAGTCTTGGCTTGGCATGTAATGGGCAAGCCAACATTATAACATTCCACACTGAATCCCTCATAATGTGGAACTGTCTGGTTACCAGACAGGGAGCATGACTTGCTGGGACTGACAGGCTCTGTGGCATTTTAAAATTCCTGATCACCATAAGGTAAGGCATGGTAAGGTATTAATGTATTCATGGCATAACAACTTTCCCATAGCTTAGTGTACACTCTGCACAGCATTACACCCAAAAATCATCATTGTATGCTAAACATAGACAAAAGGGCCACTTACACTTTACTTCTCCATGAGAGCACCTTGTTCTTGTAACATGCAATTTCAAACCTTTTTCCAGTTTTCTTCATGCGCACAATGGCAACATTGGTAAGACGCATCTGGTTAGTTGGTGTGAAAATCTTCGACATGGTGGCAGATTGATGGTGATCAAGCTCACATTAACCCTGGAAATGTAAATAACATTATCATGTAGGTCAGCATGCCACAGAAAAAGACAAATCACTGATACCCTGAGTACTAGGAACGCAACCATGAATATGATATACATATGGTTTGAGGCCAATTGATACATACCTGGAAAGGTGTGTGGGCTTAATGCTGCATAAAAGCTGTTCACAGGTTATACAAAACCAAAAGCATGTGGTTAATGTGTGGATTTTAATGGGGCTATCAGGATTATCATCAGCATTTGAAGGGAGACATCAATTAAAATGTTCACTACAAATGAGTTTTGCATGCCACAGGCACCCACATCTCTTTGGGGATCAGGTGGAAGCATCTAATGTTCTTGATCTTTTTTAAGAGTCTACGAATCTAGGCGTCTATACAAACCAGAATCCACACTCATCAGTCTATAGCCCAAACAGCCCTGGAAGTGTGAACCGAGGTAATGTGTCACCCCGGTAGCTACATCCATGGCGACTAGTCCGTGCAATTTACGCACCGCATCCCAAACCCCAACCACACCCCCATTCCCCACATGACATGCCAAGACCGCATAAGGGGCGGACTACATGGTTGTCAAAAGATTTTTGCCAGGAGTTTACTCCCCTCTCTGCCCTACCTCCCAACTTACACCACCGCGCAGCGCACAGCACGCCAGGCAACGACCACGATCAACACAAACAACCGCAGCTACCGGTGCCTCATGGCAGCAATAACAAACGAGTGCAGCATCGTTGCGTCCAAGGCCCTATAACAACGCTGTGTCCAAGTTGCGTCACAGTCTTCAATTGGTCAAAGCGCATGACGGGAACAGCTTTAGCCAAGTCAACAGAATACTCGCCAGGTCATTGGTTTGAAGTAAGCTTCAAACGGTTTATTAGACTTGCTTGGAGCATTCATATGACGTCACACGTGCGATCGCTTGATCGCTACGTGTGCTTGTTGGAGGCGGTGTCGCAACACGATGTTCTAGGGCGTTGTGCAATTCCTAGGTCCGTGGGTAAAACGCCTACATAAGTCGTGAGGGGGGCCTGTGTGGGTGGCGGTGGCTGTGGACGTGCTCGGAACGATCAGCTGGTCTGTACGCTACTAGCATGTGAATGCTAGGACACTTGCTGGACACGTGAAGTTATTTTTGGTGCTTACGTCCCTGGGCTCGGCTGGGTACCTAAACCCCGATGCGCACAGAGATATTGCTGCACCATATACTTAGTAATGTCAATGTACTGAGCCTGGAGCATGCGTACTTCAAATTTGGTTCGCCAAAATTGTTAATTTTGCATGTATATTCCATACATCATGTTGTATTTTGGGATACCTAAAACTTAATGTGCCATTACAATGCTACTGATCCTTGAAACATGGGCTCTCCACAGGCCGGAGTTAATACTTATCATGGGCCAAACTTGGACATCCAGATTTACAGCATACAACCACTGAACCTTGTTGGCACTATTGTATTTTGCAGCCTTGCACAATTCACCCAAGTCTGCTAATATGGAGAAATCCTGTAGTTGAAGGCATTGGCCTTATCAGACATGTTCTTGAGCTTATTAGATGGATGCCTCCTGGATTAATGTGGGACATATGCTATTTCTATCTTAACAGGCACAAGTTTAAGCACTCATTTTTCATGCTGTAGTGGCTACAAAGGCCATTGAGACCATAGCATCAGTGAGGTGTCAGTCTTGTAATGTTCATATCCAGCATGAGTTACCATCTTACCTGTCCTTTACTGCACAAGACATATTAGTGGTTGCATAGTTGTAGAAAGATTAAGTGCAGGGAAGGGTAAGGGTCAGCAACTTGGCTAGATGAGGTTTAAGTTAATACAGTTAATTAGGTCTGCAACTAAGAAAATAAACCACAACTGTCTTATTTCAGGAATTGCTTTCTACATTGCATAGCCAGTAAATATACTTACACAATGTCAAACAAAAAAGAGCAATGTAAGTTGGGGGAGGATGCAGGAACAAGCAATGGATTCTTGGACCTCTCCAGCTTCAGCACCAAATGAAACTAATAAGCCAGTCACTGTGCTTTTGCATCAAGAAACATGCATCAAGGAGCTATTTAAGGGTCTGAAAATAGCAGACTGTTCCAAGTTTGGCTCTCTAGTTGAAGATGAAGAAACTGCTATCACTACCACTGGTGAGCAGCACCTTTTGCGCCACTTGCCACTTTGTTTATGCTGTTCTGTTCCACTGGTGCTTGTTTGACATCAGAATGTGAGGTTGGCCTTGACCTTTTGCACTCATTACCATGGCCTGTATTTGACATTTAAGTCATTCTTCATTTGGTTTTCAAAGGTTAGACCATTTGCAGTAAGCCAGTAATCACAGCATGCAATATTTGCCACAGCCAGCTCTCTGGCCCATTGCAATGTCCAGAACATGCCCTTGAGCTCTAACAAATGCTCATCGGGCCTGGCAGAGACCCGCGACCACCTGGCAGTGTCAGAGGCGATGACGTGCTCGCACTGCCGGGTGACCTTCGCCGACCGGCGGGACCAGGTGGACCACTACAAAAGCGACTTCCACAAGTACAACGTGCTGCGCAGCTCCAGCGGCCAGCCGGCCCTCACTGAGACCCAGTTCGCCCGGCTCAGCATGGACGGTTGGTCCGCCGCCGGCGCTCACCGCCTGCTCCGCCCGCCACCTCTGCTCTGGCGGTCCCGTGCATTGTCGGAACGCGAAATGAGACGGCCATCAGTTGACTAATGTCACGTTTGCGCGCGAGTTGTGATGAAATGGTGGGATGCTGTGAAAATGTGATGAAACTGCCGACACGTGGAGCGTGGGCGTCAGGTGCTCCACACTTTGTGTGAGTGCCGTCTTGGCTGTCGCCAGATGACCTGCTGAGCGTCTCGGGCAGCGAGTCAGAAGACGAGGACCGGTCGGACACCGCCGTGGGCAGCGGGGCAGACCGGTCCGAGGGGCTGGCGAGTGCCGCTGGTGAGGACACCGCGTTGGGCAGCGCGACAGACCGATCCGGGGGGCCGGCCAGCGCTGCTGGTGAGGCGTGTCGCCCGACTCTGGCCATCCGATTGCCGATCGAATCATTGCTGGAGAGATGGCTGCCAATGTGCTGATGCTGGCTGGTGTAGGTGAGGTCAAATATGACCCTGGACACCGGTATGGGGTTCGATATCCCTTTGTGCCCGCGCCTGCTGCCAGGGTGAGAGGCAGGTGGCGCCATACAGTCTTAGCAGCTGAGTGGGTCGTGAAGACCCATCGACGGCGACGACGTTGAGCACTGACGTAGGCACGCCAGTGCACCAAAACACAAACCCCTCCAGCCAAACCACAAATCAAGTATCGTGTTGTTGCTGCTGCGTGTCGTCAGTGCCGTGCAGAGTGGATCTAGTCCCCTCAGGTCGCGCTTGTAACCGCGCTCTACCCCCCCCCCCCCCCCCCCCACAGACGGCACGCCGGCCCGCCTGAAGCATCGGCCTAAAAGCGAGGAGGCAGAGCTGAGGAAGAACCAGCTGAGGCGGCACACCAAGCTGTTCCTGGTCAATGCCAAGCAGCAGATGTTCGCCATTTACAAGTGCCTCGTCATGTCAAAATGGGTGCGATATGAGTGGTGGCGTTTGTCCGTCACCATGTGGGGACCTGGTGAAATGGCCGACCTCGGAAGTCCTGCACGTGCACTCAAGATTTTCCCATCGGTCCTGGAGAGTACCTGGAGAATGAATGTTCGTTTCGTCGTGGTGAATAGCCTGTTGCGACTTTTTCAGGCTAATCATTTGTTGCCAGCAGTGCTGGGTAGTTAAATATCAAATGTGTGACACATATCTGAAACCAGACAACGAATACATCGTGAAAGTGTGTCGCTCATAGTGTTTCTGAACTCCAGTGTCATATGTCTTCTGTTTTCTATGGGCTGTGTGGTGTGGCGTTGATGGACTCCAGTGTCGTTTGTTCACGGGTTGAAGGAGGGTGGCGCGGTGCCCGCAGGAGTCGGTGGGCGACTCCCAGGTGGAGCTGGCTGTCAAGCAGCTCTCCGCGGGGCCGACGATCGGGATCTTCCTGCTGGCCGGCGGTCACTTCGCCGCCGCGGTGTTCGCAGGTAGGCGGGGCGGGGCTGTTGTAGTGCTTTCCAACCGGTGCGTCATTAAGGAATAATCCTTCGGCTGCTCTCGGGGGCTGAACAGCTGCATTTGATGCCTTTGCGTCATTTATTGGGTTTCCTAAACGGACGAAATCTTGCTTTAGTGCGCATGCTTGTGCAGTGACATCCGCTGTGATGTGTACTTATTTTACCCGAGGCAGCGTGTCGTTTTGTCGGAGGTCAATGAGCCTGGCTGGCTTTCCGCGCCGATCCCAACTGTGGTGCCGGGCGTTGCCGTCGGGCCGTGCAGTGGCGGCCTCCCTGCGCGCCTATCCGTGCTGACCCGCGCTCGCGGCTGGCGGCGGACAGGCGGCAAGGCCGTGGTGCACAAGACCTTCCATTCGTACACGGTGCGAGCGAAGCAGGGCGGCAGCCAGGCGGGCTTCGACTCGCGGAGCGGCTCCTCGCACCCGCGCTCGGCCGGCGCCAGCCTGCGCCGCTACAACCAGGCGTCGCTCACCCAGGTGAGGCCGCGCGGAGGGGCCTCGAGCCGGCGCCGGTGCCGGCTCAGCCCGGCCCGACCGGATGCCGAGGCGGGAGCCCTCGGCAGGCGCCCGCGGTCCTCGCTCGCCGCCGCCCGGCTGACCGGCGATCGGGGCCGACGGTGAGGTGTGTGAGCTGGGTGGCGCGCTGGGCCTCGTGACGTGACGCGGCTCGGCGAGCCAGCCACACCGTCGAGCGCCGCGGACACCGCCAGTCTCGCCGCCGTGTCTGCGTGACCTCAGCCGTCAGCCGCGCCTCGCTTCCGCCGACAGCACATCCAGGAGCTGGTGGCGTCCTGGGAGGCGGCCGTGGCGCGCTGCTCGCTGCTGTTTGTGCGCGCGCCCGGCTGTAGCGCCGCCGCGCTGTACGGCGGCCGCGCGCCGCCGCTCAACAAGCGCGACCCGCGCCTGCGCGGCGTGCCCTTCCCCACGCGGCGGCCCACCTTCGCCGAGCTGGAGCGAGTGTACGCGGCGCTCACGGCCGTCCATGTGTACGGTACGTCACTCGCTGCCAAATGGACACTGGTCGCAAGCGCGCGTGTGTCGCGCTTGAGTTGTTCTTACGTGTTTTGGGGCTAGGTCCCGTCGCTAGCAGTCCCTGTTAAGTAGTCGTGTGCATTCACCTGTATCGTCCGTTCCCTGCCAGCAAGCGACTGGAGCTGTGTTGCGTCTGTTGATCGTGCCTGTGCGTCGTCTACCAATAGCTGACCGACTGTCTGCCGTTACGTTTGTTGACCGTCGCTGCACTTCGTGTGCCTGTGCCTGATCTTGCCCGCACCGTGCGGCAGAACCGACCGTGACAGTGGACCCAGACGCGGTGCCGAGCTCACCGCCGCTGCCGGAGGTGCCCGCCCGCACCCCACGTCACCCGCGGCGCGGCGAGCGAGCCGGCCCGGCCTCTCCCGAGGCGGGGCAGGGCGAAAGCCGGCCGCCAGCCGCCGCCACCGGCCGCCGGCAGACGGCGCGGGACCGACGCGAGTCCAACCGCCAGCAGGAGCTGGAGCTGCCGCTGGCCAGCGGCGACGGCGCCGGCTCCAGCTCGGAGTCGGACAGTGGGTACGAGGTGCGCCAGCTGCGCGGCGTCGCCGACCTCTCGCCGTTCGATCTGGAGGACGGCGGGCTGGACCCGAGCCTTCCGGCAGAGCCCGCCATTACGGCCGTGCAGGCGCAGCGGCAGCGGCGCGAGCTGCGCCGCCGACTGCGCCAGGCGGAGCGGGAGCAGGAGGACGACCGGCGGCGGCCGGAGGTGCCCGGCGCTGAGCAGGCACCCGATGCTGGTCAGGCACCGCTGGAGCTCGACCAGGCACCGTCGGAGCCAGGTCAGTGCTGACATTCAGGTAGTCCTGTTAATTGTACTTGGACTGCCCCAGTTACATAGTGACCGAAATTGATGAACTGCTGCCGCCTCACAGCTCTGAAAAATGCAAATATCTACAGCTGTGGAGGGTATGTGCTTACATACCGATAGACAAAGTCCGCAAACTCCAACTATCGATTCTGTCCTGCGCTGCTGCTGCTGCTGTCTCGTCTGCCGTGTGCCTGTCTGACCGAGTGGCGTGGCCGCTGTGGGTACGCCGCGCGTCTGACGCGGCCGCCCGTAGTCCGCAGACGGCGCCGAGGAGTACCGGCTGCAGTGCTACACGCTCTGCCGGCGGGGCGACGCGGCGGCGTTGGCGGAGCTGCTCGCCGCCGACGACAGGCCGCTGTCGACGGCCGCCGTGCTGGGCGCCGTGTTCGGTCCGGCGCGGCAGACGGTGCTGCACGCGGCAGCGCGCGTCGGACACGCTCAGGTGGTCCGGTGAGTCGGGCGCGCCGCGCCGCGGCCTCCGGTGGCCGGCCGCTGCGGGAGAACGCCTCCCGCCGCGGCTGCAGACGCTGCGGCAGTCCGGCTTGAGGGGCAGGAGACGCACAACGATTCCCCTCGGCAGATATGACGTTTCCCTGCACCCGTCCGGCCGTCCCCACGGCCGCCTGTCGTGTGTACGGCGGGGTCGGCACGGCGGTCGGGCCACCCGCCACGTGTGACGCGGGCGGCGCCCTGACCGGCGGCGGCGCCTGCGTCCTCAGGCTGCTGCTGGAGCGCGGCGCCGACCCGACGGCGCGCGACGCCGCCGGCCAGCCACCCTACGACGTGTCGGCGGACCGGCCCGTGCGCAACGAGTTCCGACGCTTCCGCGCCGTCCCAGCCGGAGCGACATAACTACGCCAAGGTGGGCTGCCCCGTTTCGCGGCGAGTCGTCACGCAGTCGGCGCTGCCCGCGGCCGCGCCACGCCCGGCTGGCGGCTTCCGCCGCGCGCTTGACGCGGATTATTCTGAAAGGTGACGTGGCTGGTCTGAGAGCCGAGTACGGCTGGACTCGTCCGTCCCTGCCGTTCAGATGGGACCAGTATGCGCCGCAGTTCTACGCAGTCAGCTCACATATCATGTTTATTTCTTGTCATCAATATGTGTGATTGTGTGATGTTAGAATCACGTTCTTTCCGTCGGTGAGTGGATCAGGAGTGCTGCATGCAAAGCTAGAAACAAATCTATTGAATGACTGCCCCCAGAAAAGTCGCACGTTGTGTTGTTAACAAATGGGACATGTTTGCTATGTTGTGGCATTGGCTCCCGGCCTCCGCTCACCACGGGATAGGTAAATTAGTTGGGCCTTTGAGCCTATCAAACAAGTTTGGGTCTCGTCCTTCCAGTGTGCCTTGCTTTGCCATGCTTTGGACGTGGGCCTCTTTAGGATATCCCGCAATTTCGAAATCGCATTATACAAATTACTCTTACCGTTTCACCCCTTTCAAATCCTTTCGCACAGCGCTCGTCCTAGGTGAGACCCATAGCCATGCCTTCGTGCTTTGTCTCGGTCTCAGACTGTGTCTCAGAAGTTCCAGATTGTGTCAGAAGCCTCGGATTGCGCGCTCGCGATGAGTGAATTACGCGGTCCTGTTTTTTTAAAGGAAAACGCCGGGGTCGCAAAAATCCCCAAAAGTGGGTGGGCAAGGCCACGCGCACTTTTTCGCGCACGCAACCGTAGAAGCGCTGCGTAACTCATGAAAAGTGCAAGTGCAATATGGCCAGCCCGATCCGCCTCGTTTCAGGTACAAGAAAAGAGTTTTGAGACTTTTTCGTAAACAGCGGGATGCAGCGTGCACAGAATCGTTGCTTCGCGGGAAATTCAACTTGTGCAAGGAGCGTATCGCTTGAGTTGCCACAGCCACTTGTGTGCGAGCGTCGATGCCGACCGAGCTCGTCGGTTTTGCCGCCTTCCGCAGCAAGGTCGAAAAGGTTGCGTGACAACCCATTTCCGGATTTCACAGCCGGCCCGCCGCGTTACCTGTAAGTAACGAGGCGGAAGTCTCGTCCGGGATCAAAAATTATTCCGATGACATTTTGTGCTATGTCTGACGACTGGCCTTTCAAGCAACGACGGTCTTTTTATTCCTGTTATTCCCTTCTACATGCAGCTGGCCAAGTGCCCTCAGGCCAGGGCTGGTTAAAGCCACAATATGCCATTATGTACTGCCTGGGAGTAGCGTAGGGCCAACTTTGCCGATCATGACCTTGACCTTGAATGACATTACACGTGCGTTCTTCACGCAGGGCGATGTGTCTGCTCTTCTGGAAATATACAGCTAAATTGTTTTAAGTGTTCCCCAACCTGACGTGTTTCAGGCCCGCACTGGCTCTTAAGTCAACATCGAGACACCTCATTTTTGTCACATCCTGAACCAAAATGTCTCATTAAGAGGGACTTTGGTTGGTGGTATGACTTTGTGGACAAGGGACCAGTAACTTCGTATTTAGCTTGACGCGATCTTAACACCAAATAACACTTCCAAATGTCATAAGCCGTGGTGACGTGAACAAATCCGTGTAATGTCGGCGTTCGGTTATGTGGGCAACGCAAATCCCGTATTCCAGTAAGGTGCTTCTTAATTTACAAAAAAAAAACTCCAACCAAACAGTATGTTGCCACCACGGCGCTTCACTTGGGGGAACAAGGGAACCTTCCTGATGATGATAGGCATGTGGGCAGGCGTTCCAAAGGCCTATTTGCCATAGAAAACACGCTCAGATTCAGACTGACGTCGGGCGGTCGTATTGTGGCGTTGCATGGGTCGTTTGTGTGCGGGCGTTCGGTCCATGCGAAATCAAGATCTTCGCAACGAGCCGGAGACACCATTCCCATAGACATTCGCGTAAAACAGGCGTTAGGAAAGCCGAAAACCCGGTGTGACAAAAGACGGAGATGTCGCCAGTCTCTTTTTTGCAGCCGAACCTACCGCAATGCCGCGGCGTAGAGAGCTTTCATATCGGGTGTGATAAGCAGGTATGGTATACGCTTATGTATCGTATGTGCATAGGGCCACATTCAGATTCTGAGTTTTGTAAGCTCTTTTGCAATATTTACTGCATAAGGAGAAATATTTGGAAATTTAAAATGGAGCGGATCAGGAGATCCCGCGACTTTCTTGGCATTTGACTCCAAAATAATGCTCCAGTTAGTCCAATTCCATGAACGATGCCGTAAAACAGGAAGTCGTTGAATAAGGAGCGGACTGGTTTCCAGCTGCTCATGTGTAGTAAGTACCCGGCAGACAGAGGCCGACTAACAGCCACCGTCCACACTCGTGAAATCCAGTTGCGTGAGACTGTGCTGGTTACAGGCACATATACCGGCTCCATTGACGGCAGAAGAAGAGGAGGACAAAAAACAGCGGGATGCTGAAAAGAAGCGATTACAGAATCAAAAACGGAAAGAGAAGAAAGCTCAACGGAAAGTAGAAGAGGAAGCAAGAAAAGAAGAAGAGCATAGGAAAGCACAAGAACAAGCAGAGCGACAGCGATTCCTCAATCTCTCGGACAGGGAAAAGGTAAACATTGTCTATGACATGGGAAATGGTTGCTGCGTTAGTTGTTAGAATTTGCGTGACGGGCCCCTACGCGGCCAGTTTCAGTCACTTTCAATGGAACGTGTGTTGCCGGCACAGTACGAATTCGAAGTTGTCAAGGTGTTCTAAAAGCGTGAACTAGTACGCGTTTTCCTTCTTGTATTGATGGTAACACGTTCGGGATTGTGGTGCGGGTGTGCCGCTGGTATATGTCACGTGCGGGATAGCCGACCGCCTGCTGGCTTGGTTCTTCCCTGGAGTACGTCATCTCTGACCCGGATGCGGTTGCTGGACTCTGAAGTGAAATTACGTCTTTTCCCTTAGCGTTGCACAGCAGACGACCTTGCGTTAATGTATGGCAGTGGAGCCAGTATGGGGCGTTCTCTTGCCGATTTGTGCCAGACAGGCTGTCTGACGCCGGCCGTCTTTTGCAGCGGGCAGAGGCGGCTGAACGGCGCATGCGCCAACAGGCGGCGCAGGCGGCGGCCCGCTGCTACCAGTGCGCCGCACCGCTGAACGGCCGCGTCCCGTTCCAGTATTCGGACAACGAGTTCTGCTCGACGGGCTGTGTAAAGCAGCACCGCACCGCCAGCCGCGGGCTCCGCAGCGGCGTGACCGGCAGCGAGGTGGCCGGTCTCGCGCATCATCGCCGCCATCGCCATTGCTATTGGTTTTGTTTTGAGGCGTGTTTGCCGTCGGGTTGAAGTGGGCGGCGTTGCCATGGCAGCTGTCTGTTTTCCGATTGACCTCTTGGCAAGTTTTTAAGGTGCCGAATATTTTGCTGTTGCTCTCAGACAGTGGCGTTTGATTTTAATTATGCGTTCAGGACCTTCGTGCCTTGAATGGGGTTTCATGGTTGGGGTGTGGTTGTAATTTACCTGTGCTGTGTACCTCAGGTAACAAAACTCGAGTGGTATGGAGTGCAGCATTTACGTTCACACAACTTGATTTTGATCGCCTGCCCAATGTTGTAAGCCTGTCGATACGTCCAAACTTTTACGGACACGCCTTTGAGAATCAGCATCCATTTTGCGAATAATGCAACTCAGCAAGTGGACAACTTCACGCCGTGAGGCCGGTAGCCGGAGCCGGCGTCGCTGGACCGACTGGTGCATTAAGTCTGGGTGTTCTAGTGTTCGGGGCTAGTGTCTTGACCCCTCTTTTGCAGCATTTACGAATTACGAGTGCGACCTTTGGTTTCCATAATTGTTTTCCCCAAAACGTTAAAATGGCCCGTATGTGGCATATGCAACACAGTCAGGGTCTGAAAGAGCCAAGCGACAATTGTGATGTCGACCATCTTGTCTCGCTCTAGGAAGGATCCAACGTCTTTTCACATCAGAATAAATCCTTCCTAGCCTCATTCGGAACAACGCGGCGCGTTCGCGCCACACGGTTGGCTTAAATGATTGCTTGTTCATATATAACAGACTCCACAGGAATATTCCCAGCCCAGCCCATGTTTCGTGATGCCGGAAAGGTTTACAGTACACCGCGTATTTTGTCCTTGCCTGTCCATTATAGCTGGATGTGCACCAAGGAAGACGAACTCCCTTTCAACGTCCACCCAGAGTGTGCTATGTGGCACTCCTATGGCTGAACCACGAGACACGTTTAATACTTATTTTTGAAAGTGCTGACAACGGCGGGACTACGGTGCTGATGTAACTAGGAATGTTTCAAAATGACACCTCGGTGAAGGTTAGAACATGGAGGACATTGTCTGCCTTGTGAAGGCAGAAGCGCTGTCGTACAAACGCACAGTGCTTATGCGCGGGTTCGCATACATAGTGTACTGTTTGTGCAAATTATCCTGAATACAATATTTATCAATCTGCTAACTGGCTGGGCTGATTCCCCATGGCTGTGCGACATTTCGTAAGCTAGCAGCGATGCAGTGCCGTCCACGCGCTGTTGCGTTCGGGTTCTACATGGCGAGACCATAGCGTAGCTCCGCGCGGGGGCTGGGGGAGGCGGAGGCGGATGAGGGGGGGGGGGGGGGGAGTGGTGGCTGAAACGTTCACCATGATGAACGTACCCAAAATACTCCCAAACATGCGGGTTTCTCCCTGTCTTTAGCCCAACGCTCTCTCAAAGTTCATCGGCATTGGCTGGAACCCCCCCCCCCCCCCCCAACTGTATATAAAACTATACACCTGAGCTCAATAGTCTCGCACTTTGGTTGCCTCAGTTTCTTGGATGCTTGCGCACTGTTGAATGGTCGTAAGATAATGGCAAGGCGCTGCAAAAGTCCGCCTGGCCGTCGCTTGGATGGTAAACTCGAAGGTGAAACACCCATGAAGCTGCCACTCGTGTGCCAACCATTGCCTATTTGGTAAAAGATGCGCTTCAGACCAGTTAGTGCCAATTAGAGATGCGGGCAACATGATGCTGATTGGCACTGTGTGCCATTCAATTCACGATATCAAGTTTCCAAGAATGTGCATCAAATCTGGGCATTTTGAGTGTGGATGTCCTGCCTTCGGCCGGTACAGGGCAGCATCAAAGTTAGCGCATGATTTGGCTAACAGTACGATCCAACTTTTTTGAGGGCGCAAAACGATTAATGTAATGGACGCGCCCTTAAAGCACAAATAATCACAGAGTCGACAGATATTTCTTATCACACGCTTCCGCATCAGTGACACTGTACTTCAAGCAGCCCTCATGGCACGCCAGGCGGACGCGAGAACATGACAGCCTAATATCTGGGTCAGATAATACTTTTTGATCAAATTGTTTCAAAACATGCATATACAAATCATGTCTTTGATTTATTAGCTATTGCGCAGTCCGGATTCGAGGGCCAAGTTTAGACTTACAGCGTCCAAGCACGATTACCTGCAAAATATGGCCGCTGGCCGGCAGCTAATATTTTTACGAAACCCTGGCGGTGTTTCCCCGCACCGACCTGAGGGAGGGGCGGCCGTCCGGCTCTGTCCGGGATAAGTTGGTGAGGGGTAAGTAATATATGTCACATCCGCCATGGATCTTTCAGGGCCCGACCATTTGCCTCCAGTGAATGACCTGGAATCCTTCTCTGAGCCTGGTGGGATCTTCGACGGTTGGCTGACGACCTACAAGTGACTCACGGTTACCGAAAGTTGTGCAATTGGCTCGACTGCCGCGCGCCCGGGTGGAGTGTTGTCGGCGAGGTCCTTCGTTGTCTGGGTGACTATCGATACGTCTGGATGCTCCACGGAATGCTTGATACTAGTGAGGTAAGCAGAATCATAGCAAATACATGAACTGGGTGTTGTTTGATGTGCCTAGCTCAGTCTTCAGAACATTTAGGTGTCTAGGCCTTGTTTGGTAGGGTTGTGGTAAGATAAAACTAGGGGACAGAATGTCTGGAAGTGGGGTGGCTCGTGTTTCCCTGGGCAAGTCATGTAATTCATTGGGCAGCCCATGTGTTGCCTTTGGGATATTGCACTACCTTTGGCAGCTCATGCTACCATAGGACCAGGATGACATTAATCTGGTGAGAAAACTTATTTTGTGTGTAAATGGTCCATGTTCAGAGCTCACTCTGCAATAAATGATCCAATGAACCATGCACCAAATGGCATGGGCATCCTGAACCTGGCACATGTGTCCCATCCCAAGTACAGTTCATACAAAATTGCATTGAAGTTTTAAGCAATGTGTGTGTAAATTGTGGCTGTAACATTCCTACTTGAAACTATAGTTGCACATGCTATTTGTCTGCAATATTTTGTTTCATATTTGACAACATTCTCAAAAGTTTGACCTATCAAGCTTTTCAGATAGTTTGATAGTTTTCAGTCAGACACCACCCACTTTCCAGATGGCCTGAACTGGATGACATGAATATGGGAATGTTATCTTGCACTACAGTAAAAAAGCTAGAAGCTGCAGAGGCCAGCCAAGGATTGAAACACAACTGTACTCAAACAAGATTGCAGAACCTGGTGCTGGCAGTCAGCTCAGATTAAAAGTCCTGATTCTGGAAGTTTCCAGATATTGAACTGCTGTGCATGATTCTCAAAGTTTGTCACATGTTCATTTGTTCTATTTCCTGGCCTAACATTCTAATGCTGCTTAGGGATGAAAATGGCTTGGAAGCAGGCAGCAAAAAGCTCATTTTTCAGCAGCTGGAAAGCTTGAATGCCTGGCTTATCAAAACTTCTCTGTTGGTTGTACACTCATTGATGTGAGAAGGTGTCCATTGTCTGCTCATAGATTTACACTGATGATGCTTTGATTAAGACCATGGTTTGGCAATTAACAACTTTGATTTGGCTGAGACCATGATTTAGTGACCAACAACTCTGATTTACTGATGCAGAAGTGTAATTATTCTGGGCCAACTTCCCAGCAAGCTATTGTGATAGCTGCTCCCTTCTGAAGGCAATGACATTTAGAGGTAAATGCCAGGTGCCCCACAGACATCTATATGGAACATTTGTTGTTTGTGGAGTCCTGAGCCACCCTTGTCAAGGTGCAGTCATGAACCGCATCCTGGTGAGAACTGCGTTCTTTAACCACTGACCAGCGCAAGCAGTGGTGCATGATGGTCAGTATGGAACACCACCCAAGCATATATAATGACAGATAGACTACATCTCTGCCATGGTGACGAGGCTGCTTTTCTAAGGAGATAGAGATGCCAAGCTCGACCTAATGGTGAACAAGCAACGTGACTGGGCGCGGTCCGAGACCAGCGTTGCTTTAGTGGTCCGGGGCCCACTCTCCTGATGGAATGCGGTCACAGCCAGACTGGGTGAGGTCCGAGACCAGCGTTGCTTTAGTGGCCCGGGGCCCACTCTCCTGATGGAATGCGGTCACAGCCAGACTGGGCGCGGTCCGAGACCAGCGTTGCTTTAGTGGTCCGGGGCCCACTCTCCTGATGGAATGTGGTCACAGCCAGACTGGGCGCGGTCCGAGACCAGCGTTGCTTTAGTGGCCCGGGGCCCACTCTCCTGATGAAATGTGGTCACAGCCAGACTGGGCGCGGTCCGAGACCAGCGTCGCTTTAGTGGCCCGGGGCCCACTCTCCTGATGGAATGCGGTCACAGCCAGACTGGGCGCGGTCCGAGACCAGCGTCGCTTTAGTGGCCCGGGGCCCACTCTCCTGATGGAGTGCGGTCACAGCCAGTGCAGCAGCTTTCTGCGTTAGCTCTGTGAGAGCGTATAGCATGTTAAGAGCATGTCTTGTAAAAACGGACACTCAGCTGTAGGACTGGGCTGCCACATTCTCCAGTCAACATCCGGGAGCATGCGTATCGCTGTTATAGGGACAGCGTCAACACCGCTGGCCAGTGCTGGTGTGTCTTTTCAGCCTTGTTGTATTATCGCATCAGTGCGTTATGTATCCGCCATGCAAATTGTCAAAACTGCGAACTCGAGGGTTGTATGTTGCGAATCCATGATCAGTCCTGCTTCACATGTCAGCTGTACTTTGTGGGACGGCCGACCCCGTGGGTGTCGTCCACTGGCCGCGATGGTAACACGTGCCGTCACCGAACCCCGGGGGTCATCCCGGTCACAGGGAGTCTACTTATGCCTGCAGTGAATGTCTCAGGGATGTGGTGTGTCAGGTTGGCGGCATTTGTCAGTCCATTCATTCCTCCCCCCCCCCCCCCCGGTGAGGCTAACGGGAAATAGAGCCACCAGTGTGTCATATATCATTAACATATCAGGTCATGAAACGGTTCCTGGATGGCAGAGTGGGGCGGAAAGGGGGCTGCGTCAAGGGGGAGGGGGTTGCGTCAGGGGGGAGGGGCGGCGTCAGCGGGGGATGAGCTGGACTGGTCTCCTTTATTACAGCTTGAGCTGACATGCATCGCCGGCCACGCTCGCGTGAAGAGCGAGGGACTGCGGTGCTCACACAATCTCGTGCACTCCCACGGTCGGGCGATTTCGCCTCCGGGCTGCTCTGGCGCGAGGTCATCCAACGAGCGACTAGCGGCTCGCGAGCCGACCCGATCGATTATGGGATGACTGACGTCATGTGACCTTCACCGGAGACAGCTTTCGACGTCCAGCGACTGCCCCCCGGCCGGCGGGACAGCAGAGGCCACCAACAATGACAACTCACTTGCCAAACTCGCTTGGCAAAACGGAGCATTTGCTGGGACTTTATGTTGAATATTGTTCGCTTACCCCCGGCTCTGGGCATCCGCAGGACACCATAGCGGACGAACAACACTGGCTGCATTTTACCTGTGATCCATAGCCTCAGCCGCGGTTTTGCTGTTCCTAGGGACACGATTGAGGCCTGGAATGGTCCGCAATCGCCGTCTTGTACGGTTTGAAGTGATGGGCGCGGACGAGATCTCGATGTTCCAACTCCCCTGGGGTCCGGGATACCAAACTTAGAATAGTGCTTAAGTGCCTGGCCCAAGAACACGTCCTCACGTTATTGTAGGCACGGAACGAGAGGCCACGAACCGGTCATCGTAGGCACGCGACGAGGCACTGCGAACCCGCATCACAGGCGCAAGGCGGGGCGCCGTGAGCCCACTACCGCAGGCAGAGGGGTCTCCCTATCGCCACGGTCATAATCGGGCGCCCGTACAAGTCTGTGTTCTCCATCACTGACTCGACCTGCCAGGGGTCGACGAAGGTTATTGTGGCGCGCTGTCCAAGCACAAGCCCGCGCCCGTGCTACAGAAACTGCACTCGTTGACGCACGAAACTCGACTCCAGCGCGCGTTGCAACCTGGAGGACACTCATCGCGGCCCTCAGACCCCGGCCCTCAGACCCCGGCCCTCAGCATCCGGCCCTCAGACCCCGGCCCTCAGACCCTGGCCCCCAGACCCCGGCCCTCAGCATCCGGCCCTCAGCATCCTGCCCTCAGACCCCGGTCTCCCGACACGACGAGTGTCACTGCTCCCACCCGTTTCGGAGAACCATCGCTGTGTGTTCAGCTGGCCTTCCTGGGCCCTCAACGGCAGTTGAGGCCGACTGCAGCTTTCCTATCCACTCAGGCTTCCACGGCCGTGCTCCGCGCGTCGCACTTGCGGGCTTTCTTCTCTGTGTAGTCATGCAGCCAAAATAGCCATGTCGACCGCACTCAAAGCCTATTACCACACATGTGTGTGGTTTATATGTTCCGGTGTTTCACGTGGTATCTAGATGTCGTCAGCGTCTTGCCGTGGTTTTCTTCCTCAGAGTAATGTCACTTGTGGTGAGCCGACCATGTGAGGTCGCCATCGCTCATAATGCCACCGATGTTCAGTCGCTATGTATTGTGAGTTGAGGTATGTCATCCAGTCACGCTGTTCCATGATAGTGTCTTGACATTCCAGGAAATGGGTGACCGGCGCCTGGACCCAGGGGGTCCTCTGGAGAACAAGCTTCTGAAATCGTTGACGAAGTCAGTCAGTCTTAAAACCGCAGGGAGCCTGGGGAAGCGCAAACCTACTTCCTCCGGATCTTCCCTGTTGTCTAAAACAGGCTCATTGGAGAACGCTGTTCTCAACAAACTCACCCTGAGATCATCAGTTGTGACGAAAACATCGAACACTCTGCCGCTGACGAATTCCATCCTAAACCAGTATGAGGCCGAGCACCAGCCAAAGAAGTGCAGGCGAACCGATGACATCCCAGTTTGTGACACTGCCATGGCATGTGCGATGCCATCCTATCTCGATGAAGAAGTTGAAGCATCCCTAGTCTCATCGTCTGGCAGTGGGGCTAGCGATGAAGACGACGACCTCGGAGGCTTCCTTTTTAGTGGAGACATCAATGAAAGACACGCGCGCGCTCCCAGAGTTCGAAACGCTGAAAGACTGTTGAAGAAGAAGGCATGCAGAGGTGCACCCTTCGGCTTCGGTGCCGCTGCCGCCCCGGGCAGGCTTGCTCTGTTTGGCAGCGCGGAGGAGAGTTGGGCTCTGCCCGACACCCAGTACGACTTCAAGGACGTCAGCCTGGAGCACGAGTTTGACGACCAGCCGACGTGGAGCTCGCTGCAGGAGGCGGAGCAGCAGGGCGCCGACAGCAAGCGCGCCGCTAAGGTACTGCTCGCCGCCTGCTGTCCGCCCTTACCAGCCACCTCGCTTGTGGTTTCCATACGCGACACGTGCGTTGGCGTGTGGGGAAATGTCGATGCTCTGCATCTGCTGGAGCTCCAAGTGCGATTTGAGCGAAGCAGTTCTAACATAATGCTTGCACGAGTGAAACGTGAGTGGGTCAGGTGTACCCGCAAATAGTTGGATTCCCGATCTGGCTGTCGCGACCTTACTTTTATTACCCATCAGCATGTGAAGAGACGCAAGTGTTTCCTTGACGTTATCCGCGTGATTTGCTCCAGCTCGACTTCCTGTCTGCTGTGTGTGTGTCGCTGGTGAGCCAAACAGACTTCAGAGACAAGTCTGACTCCATGCGACAGCGCCTCATTGAGCTCGCCCAGGTGCTGGTCAACCACGAGCCAGAGTTCATCCTGAAGGTACGCACGGCACTGGACCGATACTGTATCATTTTGAGGCGCTAAATGTCTGAAGAAAAGGCATATGATATCACCATCATCATCACCGATTATCACATTGTTTTTATAGCAGCAGTTGGTATGCTCTGTGAAAGATTGAAGAGCGAAATAACACAGGAACACCTTTATCAGGGACATTTGCGGTAAAGTGCGTACGTGCGCGTTGCCTGTATATATATACATATATATATATATATATATATATATATATATATATATATATATATATATATATATATATATATGGTGGGGATCTAGTGATATAATTTTGAGCCCCTTTGGAGCAATGTTGTCCGGGCTCTTCGACGTCACTTATTTACTTCGTCAATTAGATTTAGTCAACTAAAGAACATGTTGCCGAGTCTTCCCATGTGTGAGCGTCATAATGCCGGCAGATGGCGCTGTACGCTCGCCAAGAGCTGTACCTGCGCAGTACGGCCAACTTCCTGCTGGCGTTGGCCGCCCTGCTCGAGCCGTGCCGGCCCTTCCTGAAGAAGTACTACTGCGGAGCCGTCCGCCTCCCCACTGACTGGATAGAGGTGGCCGAACTGTACCAGGTCAGTACAAGAGGCGACCGAACTGTACCTGGTCATTGTCAGGGGTGGCCGAGCTGTACCAGGTCAGTGCCAGAGGCGGCCGAATTGTACCAGGTCAATGTCGGAGGTGACTGAACTTTACAAGTTCAGTACCAGAGGCGGCCGAACTGTACCAGGTCAATGTCAGGGGTGGCCGAACTGTACCAGGTCAGTGCCAGAGGTGGCCGAACTATACGAGGTCAGGAGGTGGCCTTACTACCATGCCAGTGCCAGAGGTGACTGAACTTTACCAGGTCAGGGCCAGAGGTGGCCGACTGTACCAGGTCAGTGTCAGGGGTGGCCAAACTGTACCAGGTCAGTGTCAGAGGTGGCTGAACTTTACCAGGTCAGTGCCAGAGGTGGCCGACTGTACCAGGTCAGTGTCAGGGGTGGCCAAACTGTATCAGGTCAGTGTCAGAGGCGGCCAAACTGTACCAGGTCAGTGTCAGAGGTGGCTGAACTTTACCAAGTCAGTGCAAGAGGTGGCCGACTGTTCCAGGTCATTGTCAGGGGTGGCCGAACTGTATCAGGTCAGTGCCAGAGGTGGCCGACTGTACCAGGTCATTGTCAGGGGTGGCCGAACTGTATCAGATCATTGTCAGAGGCGGCCAAACTGTACCAGGTCAGTGCCAGTGGTGGCCGAACTTTACCAGTCCAGTGCCGGCCTGCCCGCCGACGCTACGTCAGGGTGAGCCGCCATGGGCTCGGAATGATGCAAGGCTTGGGGCTGGTTGCTGTGCAGTGGAACGCAACACTTACTGCTGACGCGTGCGACGCGTGTGCATCAGCCTCTATTGGCGCCATAGTAAACCGTGAGGAGCGCCAACCGAGGTAGTAGTGTCGCCGCCCCCCCCCCCCCCCCCCCCCAGACGCGTGCCCGTCGGGAGATAGCATGGCAGCGACGGGCTAAGGCTAAAGCCACCACGGCTAGAGCGCGTTTTGAGCACGGCATGTAGCCACGGCCGCCAAGCCGCACACTGTTGAGCCGCGGAGTTGATCCATTCAGCTGATCCACTGAGCTGCGCTGCTGAGCTGATCCATTGAGCTCATCCACTGCGCTGATCCGCTGACCTGATCCACTGAGCTGAGCTGCTGAGCTGATCCACTGCGCTGTTCCGCGGAGCCGATCCACCGAGTTGATCCACTGAGCTGGGCCGCTGACCTGATCCACTCGGCTGAGCTGCTGAGTTGATCCACTGAGCTGGGCCGCTGACCTGATCCACTCAGCTGAGCTGCTGAGTTGATCCACTGAGCTGGGCTGCTGACCTGATCCACTGAGCTGATCCGCTGACCTGATCCACTGAGCTGAGCTGCTGAGCTGATCCACTGAGCTGGCCACCGAGTCGCTTCGCCACTCAGCGGCGACGCCCTCGCTGTGCGTGACGCCGACGCCTGGTGTTACGCCGATTGGCGCCGCAGCATCGCGCTCTAGCCGCCGGCTGTTACCTCCGACCCTTTCCGGCGCGCGACCGTTCCGCGGGCGCGCGTGGGGCAAGGGGGAGAGGGCACTCAGCACTCGCAGGTGACGTGCGTGGCAACAAAGGTCGGGTTACTGATCTGCCCGTTCCGTGCGTTTGTCTCATGTGATTTTGTCAACGTTTAGTTTGCCTTTGGTTTCCACGTGTTGTCACCAAAGTCACTTGTTGCCGCAGTTTAGTTTCATGCTTGATGCCGAAATGCTCTTTAAACAAACGAAAATTGTTACGTTTTTCACACTTACGCTTGTTTCCTTTCCTTGCTTTAGCAGTTTTTCAAACCGCATTGTGTGTGGCTCACGCTGCAGCCGCATATTATATATATATATATATATATATATATATATATATACATAAATGAAAGAAAAAATATATATACGCGTCCTACCCAGTGTTGCTGGCCGAGGCTCACGCCGCCTGTGGTGTTGCATTACTGACCCGTAGCAGCTCCAGTTGGGCCGTTGTGGCGGTCTCGGGTGGGTCGTCGTGATCGGTGCCTGCTCCATGCGGCACCACCCTTCAATTTCTATTATTCAGTCACGCTATTGAACGCACGCCAGTTGCTCCATGTGTCGATAGCGGCCCGTGTTGACGCTCGGTCGCCTGCTTTGTCACCATGCCACCGGCAGTTGCGGCATGCTGTGTCACCATGCCAACTGAAATATTGCTTTTAGCACTACACGATTGGCTTTACGTTCCGCCGCAACTGCCGTTGACATGGTGACATATGCTCGCTCCAACTGGTCAGGTGGAGCCAGCGCAGTACGCCTGACTTCAAAGGGTCACGTGGTGCATGGCCTTGCATCTGTCGCACGGGCACGGGTGTAGAGCACGTAGTGTGACATTTAGTGGCGGAGGTGCGTCTGGACTGGGAGTGTCATGTAGCAGAGGGCCCCTGGTGGGCAGCGGTGTGACTTGCTCCCATCTGTACGTTCTTCATAACGGCATGTGTGACGTCATGCTTCAGGTGTTCGACGACAGCAATCTGAACTTCGGCTCGCTGCCGGCCGCCCTGCGGAAGGTGATGGTGGACAAGTTCGGCGAGTTCGACAACTACCAGCTCGCCAAATACAACAAGAACAAAAAGGTATTCGGGCGTGACTCAGAGCGGCTGCGTGGACAGCGCGTTCAGTAGGACCGTGTGACGCCATGCGATGGCGGAACGACGTGTTTAAAATTCCGCCATGTAAGCATATAGGTTTGTTTACTATAGGCGAGGATCAATTTCTTAACCGCTGCCGATGGGAGTGTCCGGTCACATGATAACGTCCAATCCCTCCCCCGTTTGCGTCATTGAAGTGCGAGACTATCCAGATTTAATGGTCTCAAAGGCTTTGCTTATCGTCGCAGAGCGGCATCGAAATCTCTCCAGCCGGCTGCTCTGTTCTGTTCTGTAAAGTCGTCGCTTTGTCCGTCCTGCGTGACCACAAACTGACGTGCCCTGCGAGGCCGCCGGCGGACTGTCCCTCCGCGCATGCGCCGTACGGCAGCCTGCCGCTGACGCCGTCACGCGCCGCCGCCGCAGCCGAAAGCGAACGCGTCCGCCGCAGCGGCCTCGGACGCCGGCGACGGCGAGGAGTCTGAGGAACAGCTGAGGCGCCGCTCCTTCAGCATCAAGAAGCTGGTGCGGCTGCTGCACGTGCGCCGCCCCGTCGAGCCCGTTATGGCCATCGTCGGCAAGAAGTGAGTGACGGCCAAGGCGTCTGTCGGTCGGGGAGCTACGCTGCGCTCGCGATCAGCCAGCCCGGCCGCATGGTGGCCTGGCGCCTTCCGCGCTGGCCGCCACGGCATTATGCGTAGCGACGTGCGTGCGCTACACTACCCTCTACGGTCACATCTGCTTTGGTTTTGCCTAGGCGCTACTATCAGTCATTCCATGTGAAATGGGGACTTTAAAACGTCCTAGCGCTGTCACAGGCGGCGAACCCACCGAAAAGGTGAAGCGTGAGCAGGAATCTGAGACGCAGCGCGGTAGTCGGACCACGGATAGGTGCGATGGCCTTGTTTTGCCAGGTTTCTGAGAAGTTAATATCGCCCGGCAGCCTCCTGAATAGTCCAGTGCTCATGATGGACATATCACAGTAACAGAGCCGGTGGCGATGTTAACCGTTGACTGCGCGGCAGATGCGCTGTGCTCGGGCGGATGGGCCTCTGATGCGCTACGCCCCGCTGCCTGTGCAGCAGGCGCGCTTCATTACCAGCGGACTGTCGGACTGGTCGGCTTCACCGAGCTGGCTGTGCGACAGGTACCCGACCGACCCGGACGAGTTCCGGCGCACCGGTCTGCCCGGCACGTTCGACTCGGCTCGCGCCGGCGTACGCATGAAGCTGCCCGTGCCGGAGACCTGGGAGACGCAGGTGGCGCTGCACGGCAACAAGGCCGAAGTCTGGCAGCAGCTGATCGGTGAGCAGGCCCGGCCGCGCCTGCCGGCAGACCGCCCGGCCCGGCCGCTTGACCGCCGGGCCCGCCTGGCCTGGCCGCCAGACCGCCCGCTCCGCCCGCTCCGCCCGCTCCGCCCGCTCCGCCCGCTCCGCCCGCTCCGCCCGCTCCGCCCGCTCCGCCCGCTCCGCCCGCTCCGCCCGCTCCGCCCGCTCCGCCCGCTCCGGCAGCTGGACCGCCCGGCCCGGCCACCGGACCGCCGCTCCGCCCGCACCGGCCGTTGGACCGCTCTCCGTCCCGTTTCCGGCGCCGCAGCCGCCCGGGCCGGCCGGCGGTGCACGCTGGTCGGCGTTTGCCAGAATAGCGTAACACCGGGATCGCGCTGTGATGAAAGGCATGCATAATGTTATCGGGTATCGCAGGCTGCTCTGGGGACTGCTTTTGCTTAGGAGCTATTCGTTGGTTGAATCAAGCGTTCCCTTGGGATAATTTACTTACTAGTTGGGCCACAAATCAAGCGGGTGTTGTTAAAAATTTTAGGACTTCAAATATATTCCAGAGGTCCAACTCACCCAGCTCAGCTTATCGAATTCTAAGAAGCTGTTGCGTGCAACCTGTGGGCGTAGTTCCATTCCGCTTTCACCAGCACGGATCTGCAAAAGGTATATTGCGATATTTTGCAAACATTTTCATGCAAGCTGGTAGGTGAAGTAATTATGACAGTTCTTCAAAACTGGCATTGTGTGCTTTTCGGCTTTCGCCATTCCTGGGATGATTTACGCTGTCGCGGAGATCGCGGGTATGCCGCTCTGATGCGGCAGAGCACGTCTACGACGCTCCGGTACCAAAACCCGGTATTGACGGGCTCAGTGGACACAACCACCGTGTATTTTATAACGCAGGGTGATGTGAGGGCACGCTGGTTATCAACGGCGCCATGTTTACTCGCTGAATTGGACGCATCACATCTGGAACTCAACCAGGAGCTGTTCTTCCTGGTCGAGTTCGAAGCGGCGCCCTACTGTGTTTCTGATGACGTGTCGCGGGCTGGGGCTGCATGCCGCCGGACGTGACGTTCGCAATGCCGCAGTCCTTCCTGACGTTCTCCTGTGCACCCAGACCACAAGAAGCTGCCGTACATGGCCATGCTGAGGAACATCCGGAACCTGATCCTGGCCAACATCGGCTGCACGCATCACGAAAAGGTGCTGAAGTCGCTGACCAATCAGAAAGCCGTGCTGAACAGCAAGCAGATGGCGTTCAGGTGAGTGCGCACTGTTACCGCCGTTGGCAGCGTGGTACGAGGTGCCCACGTCCTGTCTATAGAGCGGGACATGGCGGTCTCGCTGGCACTGCCAGGCAGGACGCGCTGGTGAGGTTCTTCGCAGGGCCTGGGATCGTGTTTTTATTGTTTGGCCCCCTGGTGCTGTTCTTACGAGCGGAGGCTGTTATGGGTCATTACGGGGTGGGGTGAAGTGGCGCGGGGAGGGGCAGCAGTCACTTCAGTTGTCACAGAACGGCCTCCGCGCTGGTCTCGCGTCAGTGAATCGATGAACAGTGTCTGCACTCCCTGCCACTTGCCCACGCACCCGCGCCCCACGTGTGAACATGTCGCCACTGGCCAGACTGAGTCCCGGACGTCATCGCGTCGCGTTCGCTCGCTGCCGCCAGGTACCTGTCCGCCTACGCGGCCCTGGACGATCTGGAGAAGATGCTGAGGGAGGAGAAGGACAAGCAGACCGAGGACGCGCCCAAGTACACGCCTGCCAACCCGGCCGGCAAGAAGTTTGCCAAAGGGCTCTGGATGAAGCGCAAGAGGCGGGTCATAACCGCCAAGAAGAGGTGAGCTTCGCTCGGTTGTCTGTGCCCCGGTCGGGTGTGTCGGGTCTCTGGTGACGGGTCACGCCAGCGATGGCCAGGAGTGAACGGCGGAGGACGGGACTGCTGGGGACGCTCGCCCCCCACCAGCAGCGCAGTATCGCAGCACATCAGTGCTCGGAATGAAGTTATGGTTTTCATCCATGTTGCGCACTCATACGCTGCTGTCAGTTTGACGCAGACTTCGGTGTTGGCCATGGGCGCTCCCTGAATTGCAACCGCCGCAGCGTTGGCCCGCCGCTGCCGCGGGGAGGTGCCGGTCGGGCCGCGCCGCTGGCGCTGCGGCGACCGCGCCGGCACAGTGCGGGGTGGCCGAGCGCGGCCCCACCTCCTGGCTGACGGTGCGCGCTGCCGTCCACAGGAAGATCGATTACGATCTGCACATGCTGCGACAGTACCGGGCGGCGCTGGATCGGGCAGTCCAGATCGCCACCGTGCACAACGTGCCGCCCATCGCCGGCAAAACGCATGTGTTCTGCGACGTCTCCAAGCGCATGAACCGCGTGTGCGCCTCCGCCAAGGGCATGGGCAAGCCCAAGACGGTGGGTGGCCGCCGCATGTCAAGCTGTCCGCCGGCTGCCGCGTTGCGCCGGAGGGCAATAATCCGAGACGCACACGCGGCGCCCTTGTGGTTGATGAGTTCGGGGCATTGTCTGAGGTGGTTTGTCGGGTTGTGCCTTTGACACGCGGTGCTCTATATCACCGATGGTAAGTGGGCGTTCCAACCTGTCGTGGTCAGGTTCTCGTGGTACATCGTTTCATCTTCAGATAGCATGTGATCGGTTTTTCGAAGTGAGACTCAAGTTAGTTTCTCACATGGCTGCATGCGACCTTATGTGCAGGGAACAGACCATGCACATAGGTTTCCCGTATTAATTTGATTCATGCAGTGAAAAGGTGAATTCGCACACCAAGGGTTTCCTTTCGTGATGTCGTGCTCTACAGATTAAAAAAAAATCTTGAGAAGTGGACCCCACCGAGCAGGTGGTAGCTGGTGGCTATCGTAACACCTGTCACGATACATGTCTTTTGCATTAGGTGGGATGATGATGGGATTGGGTAAAGGATACGAGATAGAGCAGATGGGATGGCTTGCAAGGATGAGTGGGATATTGATGAGGGTATTCAGTTAAAAGAAGGGCGGACGGCCGCACATTTTCGCTCGCTGACCAATTTGCAATTGCGTCAAGTGGTTGAAAAGCGTCGCACTGGCTCTGCAGCGGCTTTCAGATGCAGCGATTAAGCACCGCGACGCCGGCGATGCCACCTCCGGCATCTCCATTCTCGTTAGGCCCCCGTCGACATCTGCTGAACCGCGCTGCCGCGTGACGTGTGAGGCTACCGCCGCAGAGAAGGGCCTGGAGTGAGGGGCGGGCGGGCCGGCGGTGCGGCCAGGTGACGGCCACCTCACGGCCATTGTCCGCCGACAGGCCCGCACCATGGCCATCCTGCTGTCGCTGATGTGCCAACGCTCGGCGGAGAACTGTGAGCTGGTGGCTTTCGGCGACGGCGCGCCGTACGTGGTGGAGGACAAACGAAACGTCGACCTGCTGCAGGAGGTCGCCTCGCTGGAGGAGTCGGCCGATGCCCAGCAGGTGGGTAAGGGGAGGGACTGGAAGTCACGGACCGGTGGGGCACGTTCGAGTGGGGCGGGGAGGGGGGGGGGGGGGGGAGGAGCTTGTGTTACCCTTTGTGCATGGATACCTTCAAGCTACTTTTGGTGTCTATTTCAAGCTAAATTAATATTGATATATTTTATTACTTCACACGTTCACACAGTTCCGGTGTTTCAGCTGTGCGAAAATGGTCTCGCCATTCACTCGGACGCTCTCACATCACGCGTACGCTTCGTATCGCATCGGCGCGCGTCACCGTTGCTTTGAACCGTGCATGCTACCCGCCTGCTGGACTAAGTCGGCTTGAGCTGGGGGATCACCACGCCGCCAGCGCACCTGGCCGACCTCGAGCCCGCGGCACGAGTGGGCAGATTGGCGACACCGGGGGCGGGCGACGCCGGCGTCGTCGTGCAGCTGGACGGCGGCGCGTCTGACGCCCGGCGCCGCCGTTGCAGATTGAGTTCGGCCGCGCGGATGACCCGGATGGCACCATGTCCGGCATTGGCGACGTGGAGGAAATGGTTGAGCAGTGCCTCCAGAACCGGCAGTGGGTGAGTATTCCGACGGACGCCGCCGCGGCGCACCGCGGCCGCTCAGGCGCCAACGCGGTGCGCCGCTGGTGCGTTCACGCCGGCCGGGCCGGCGGCGGTGGTGGGGCCCGGCGAATGCGGCCTGAGCCTCCAGCGGCCGGCGTCGTCCGCTGCCCGCCCGAGCCGCAGTGTCCTCTCCCACCGGCCGGCGGTCCGCGGTGCCCGCCGCGTGGCGCGGCGCCTGGAGGGGCGCGGCGCTCTGGCTCTCGTCACACGGCACAGCACTGCGGCGGGAGCGCGTCACAAATGTCCGACGGCGAAAGCGTCCGACGCCGGCGCGAGAGCACACGCCGCCGCTTCACTGGGTACGTGCGGCCGCGGCGCGCCATCCAGGCGCGCGCTCACTGACACCAGCTCTCCGCGCAGACCGCTCGCGCACACTCGAACCCCGCACGCGCTCGCCCGAGCCTCAGCACGGATCGTCTTGACGCGGACACTCGGCTGGGAGGCGAGCGCGCAACGCGCCGCCAGCGCTAGTGTTCCGGCGCTCTGTGGGCTGGCGTCGCCGCCGGCCGGCCGCACTCTCACCGCTGGTCGTTGTCCGACTCGGGCGGGAAGGTGACGTAGTAGGGCGTGTTGGGGTAGAAGCCGCGCGCCGAGCCGGGCCCGCCGCCGCCGCCGCCACCGCCGCCGCCGCCCAGTGTGCTCAGCGTGCCGTACATGCCATTCTGCACCACGTACGAGCCGGGCGGCGGCGGCCCTAGCATCTTGGCCGACACCAGCGTGCCGTTGCGACTGGAGGGCGCCGGCGGCGGCGGCGGCCCCAGCATCGGGTAGCTGGGGTAGCCGAGGTAATTCCACTGCGGCGGGCCGGGCTTGAGGCAGGTGCAGCCGCCCTGGCCGCGCAGGGCCAGCGGACCGGCCAGCGGGCCGCCCTGGTACTCGCGGCTCGAGTCCCAGCGCCAGAAACAGCACAGCCGGCAGACGCACACGCACACGATCACCAGGATGATGAGCGCCACCACGCCTGCGGTGGAGAGAGAGACGGAGACGGCATTGGCGTCAGATGGCGGCGGGGAGGCTCCGGCCGCGGCTGCCGCGGCTCGGCGGACCAGTCGCCGGCGGGGCGCAGCGGCCGGCCTCGGTCGCCGAACTACGCTCGTGACGTCGCTCACGGGCGGGGGCGTTCTCACACAGCGGTAGCACACTCACACACCATCCCCTCCTCCCCGTGTGACGTCGCTCATAGGCGGAGACGTTCTCGCACAGCGGTAACACACACACCATCCCCTCCTCCCCGTGTGACAGGCGGAGACGTTCTCACACAGCGGTAACACACACACCGTACCCTCCTCCCCGCTTGCCGTCACTCACGGGAGGGGACGTTCTCACGCATCGGTAACACACTCATCCACACACACACGTACGCACACCATCCCCTTCCCCACGCGGCGCTACGCAGACTTAAAACGATCAGCATCTGCGAATTCTGTGAGCACACGACCTTTCAATAACGCGTTCGGTAACGACCCACCTCCGACGATGCCAATGATGAGGGCGTCCATGTTGTTGACACCCGCCTGCTTGGCCGTGTCAGCTTCGGCCTCGTCCCGCTCGGCGCCGGGCTCTGTCTCCTGCGCCGGCCGGCGCGGCGGCAGCGTCCAGATGATGTCCGGCTGGGCGGTGGTGGTGGTCCGCCGAGTGGTGAACGCGATCTCGGTGGTGGTGGTGGTCTCCCGACCAGAGCACGTCAGCCGGGACTCAGCCAACTCCACCAGCAGCCGGCCGGCCAGCTCCGCAGGCGCCTGGCACCTGCCCGCAGAGGCACGGCGTCAGGGGATGGCACGGCGGCAGGGGCGGACACGGCGGCAGGGATGGGCACGGCGCCGCAGGATGGACATGCCGCCTGCGGTGGCATCAGCATACGGCAGCGCCACCACAGCGTACCAGGGGTGGTACGGCCAGTCGTCGCGATGTGACGTGAACGGCCGCGATGGCGCCGACAGGCAGCGCATGCAGTCATTGAGCAGCAGCAGCAGCGGCCAACAGCAGTGCCCTAAAGGACGCCATAATCTCCAAACGTGAGCAGATGGGGAAACCGGTTGTCGAGGGATGTCACATTTGCGCGACATTTGAAAACAGTAAGCTGAGGGGCCTCGTGACTGATTTAAACTTGCGTGAGAAACTGAGAGAGACTGGAACCGAGAGCGTGAGGTGCGTTCGCCTGAGAAGTCACGTGGCACACAGCTGAGTACGCACCGGATGTCGCTGAAGGCGTCAGCCATTGTGCCGTCCTGGCGCTTAGCCAGCAGCCAGCGCCTGAGGGGAGCGGCGTTGCAGTCGCAGTAGATGGGGTTGCTTGGGAGGCCGCGGAGGGAGAGGCTGCGCTGCCGGTCGTCCAACTGACTGAGCAGCTGCGGGCCGACGCTGGTCAGCCGGCTGTCGGTCACGTCCAGCTCGACGGTCGTTGAGAGCGGCACGGGCAGCAGCACCTTGGTGGGGATGCCACCGATGGAGGTGTTGCTGAAGAGGAGGAGCACGCGCGGACTGCTGAGGCCGGCCAGCGCGCCCGTAGAGATGCTACGCACGGCACGGCCGTGCACGCCCAGCCGGCGCAGGCGCGGAAAGAAGGATGGGTGTAGCTGGTCCTGCAGCACCGGCTCCTTCACCTCCACGTCCAGCGCCTCCAGAGTGTTCAGCTTCTCCAGGATGCCCTTAATGTCGAGGTTGGTGACGCCTGGGTACGAGTGCAGCTGTAGCTCGCGGAGGCTCGGCAGGCTCTGGAAGGCGGTCTTCTCGATGCGCGAGCACTTGTCGAGGTGCGTCATGCGCAGTACCTCCAGGTTGTTGAGGTAGGTGAAGTCACCGCGGATGACGTACGAGATGGGGTTGCCGGATACGTCCAGCTCGCGGACGAAGCGCAGTCGTGGCCACACAGTGGCCAGGCCGAAGCTCAGGTTCGGGATCTGGTTGAAAGAGAGGTCGATGGACTGCAGCAGGCTTGGCCGCTCAAACAGGTTCTCGGATATTTTCTGCACGGCATTGCCGGAGAGGTTGAGCTTGCGCAGGTAGGGCGTCTCAAGCACGGGGATGGCGGTGACGCCCGTGCCGGCCAGGTGGAGCTCGCGGGCGGCCTTCGGTTCGTTCATCAGAATCTCTATGGAGTCGGGCGTCAGCGGGTTGAAGGACAAATCAAGGATCTTGACGTTGGCAAGAATGTCCTCCTTGGGCGGGATCGAGCGAATCCGGTTCCCCGACATGTTGACGTCGTCCAGGAAGATAAACTGCTTGCGGAGGGCATCCAGCGGCATCTCCTCGAACTGGTTGTTGGCGAGGTTGATCTTCTGCAGCATCTGCAGCTTCAGACGGGTGAAAATGTCGTCAGGAAGCGCCGAGAGCTGATTGTCGTTCAGCTCGAGCGCCAGGCGCACCAGACCGCTGAACGTGTCTTCGTGCAGCTCCGTCAGGTTGTTGTGGCTGAGGTCGATGAACTGAAGCTGCGTGGAGTTCTGGAACGCCGTCTGGTTGATGCTGGTCATGTTGTTGCCCTTGAGGATCAGCTGGCGGAGGTGCGGCATGTTGGCGTAGTCGCTGCTCGATATCGACTCGATGTTGTTGGCCTCGAGGTCGAGATATTCGAGCTTAGTGGCGTCCGCCAGTAGCTCAGCCGGGAAGAACTCCAGCTTGTTGTCGCCCAGGTTCAGCCAGCGCAGGTTTGAGTGAATCTTGAACGCTGCCGGGTAAAGGAATGTGATCTCGTTCTTGCTGAGATCGAGGATCCTCAGCTCGGTCCCGTCGGACGTGATGTTAAAGAAGTCGGCCTTGAACGTGGCCAGCCGGTTCGAGTCCAGCTTGAGGATGTGCAGGAAGGGCACTCCACTAAATGCGCCGTTGCGCACCAGCGATATGTTGTTGCCGCTGAGGTCGAGCGTGTGGAGAAACGGCAGGTTGACGAACGCCTGTTCCGGCACCTCTTGAATCCGGTTGTTCTGCAGCTGAATGACGTTGATGTTTGTTTCCGAGAATGCGGTGGACTGGACGGCCTCTATCCGGTTGTTGCTGAGATCGAGGTTGGATATCTGCGTCAGGTTCTGCAGCAGGCGCTCCGGCACGCTCTCCAGCCGGTTGTCGCTCAGGTCCAACTCCTGCACCTTGTCGACCAGCTCGAACGCGTCGTCGTCCACGTCGCTGATCTGGTTTCCCTCCAGGCTGAGCTTGCGCAGCTTCGGGAAGCTGACGCGCTGCAGGCGGCTGATGCGGTTGAGGCCGAGGTCCAGCTCCTCCAGGGTTGCGTCCACGCCGGCCATGACGTCCTGGCTGACCGCCGGCACCTGGTTGCCGCGCAGACTGAGTCGCCGCAGCCGACCGAACTCCTGGAACGTGCCGGCCGGCAGCTCGCGAATCACGTTGTAGGCCAGCGACAGCTCCTCCAGGCCGGAGATGCCCGACAGCTTGTCGCGCGCGATCACGCCGATGCGGTTGTGATCGAGTGAGAGCCGCCGCAGGCCGGTCAGCCGGCGCAGTGCCGCGTGCGGCACGTACAGCAGCCCGTTGTCGTCTAGGTTGAGCGTCTCCAGTCGGTCCAGGCCGCGGAACGTCTCCTGGAAGCCGTCGTCGCCCTGCCGAGGGAAGAGCGCCGCCGCGTCAGCCGGGTGGGAACGGTGGTGTCGCCGCCGCTGGGCTCGGGACAGTCAGCATCGCTATCGCCAGCCTCGTTAACCAATGACGTCGTCTGGAGATGGACGTGAGTGCGAACTTATTATGCGGACCGCCATCCGTCTGAGCTTGGTCGTTGACACGTGCTCATGAGGTCGGCTCTCGTGCCGCGGAGCTCGCGGTGGAACTGGTGCCATCATCACATGTTCCCGACTGACGGACCCTCGAATCGGCACCCTCGCATGCCAGCTCCCGGCATAACGCAAATCAAGGTATCATGTCTGGGCAGGAACTATCAAGTGCTACCATGTCGACAGTAACCTGGATACCCTTGATGGTTGGAAGATGTGGGTTTAACAGCGAACAACGTCATGGTTGCAAATAGTGAACTGGTGGTACCTAATTTTCATATGCATCAGCATGCTAATTTTAAGTGCAGCCACAAATTGACAATGCATTGCACAATTTCCTGACAAACAGCGTAAATGTTTGGACCGTCAGTGGCATGCTCGTCAGCTGTTGTCGTAATTATGTTCACGTGCCATACCCGTGTCAGCCGTCGGGTATGTTCGAGATGAAGATCGTACCGGCGTCAGGGGACGCAGTACTGGGAACTGTTGTGACCGCACGCGCACAAGTAGCTCGGCGTGCGTTGGCAGGAAGGACCGCTCCAGTTTCTAAGTGCGGGCCGTCGACCCGCCTGAGGGGATGGCCAGTAGGCCAGTCCGTCTCGGACCTGGTCCGGGAGTCTCCGTGACCGGATGCGGCTCGACCGCCAGGCCGAACGCGGTCCGAGGTGGAGGGGAGGGGGGGGGGCGGTTTGAGTCCCGTCAGCGCCTCAGTCTGTCGGGCGGGCGACGTCCGTGACCTCTGCGCCGTCTCCCTGCCCGTCCGCCGCCGGGACCGCCGTCGGCCCCGGCCCCGGCTCCGGCCCCAGCGGCGGCCGTCCGCTCCTGCAGACTCGCGTGCCGCCGGCAGCAGCCTGGCCCGGCCCCGGCCCCGGCCCCGGCCGTCCGCTCCTGCAGACTCGCACGCCGCCGGCAGCAGCCCGGCCCGTCCCAACCGGGCCCGCTCCGACAGGTACGGCCGGCCCTCCCCGCCGCCCACCGCCAGTCGTATGCAAATGCGGCGGAGCGGCGGCGGCCGGCCGGTCGGCCGGTCGGCACGCAGCGGGCCCGGGACGCGTGCACACGCAGGCCGCCGCCGGCCGCTAACGGTGCCGCACCATCGACCGGCACCCGAGCCCCGGTGAGCTGCTGCTCGTGCAGTCGGGCGCACACTGGGATGCGGCCTTTCATCCGACGTCCCGCCAGCCTGCCAGCCAGTTTATCTGGCCGTTGTGCGCACGTACGCGCAGCGGCCCAAGAGGCGACTGCGCTTCGTCCGCGGGGCGCGGCGCAATGTGGATGACATCGCCGATCCGTGTGCGGCCACTCTCAGGTCCAAGGTGGGCCAACAGAGCCGTGCTCCTCCCCCAAAGAAAAAAGTGAGAAGCAGCACTCTCCTCTTCGCTTGGCCCGGTTTTCGGGTAGTATCTTGTGTAACACATGGGGGCGTTCCCAGCAGACTTTTTCTAAGGCTCGATGCTGGTTTTGTGGAAGGATTGTGACCAGGCATTATTATCACAGTTGTGATAATTGTTCTGACGATCGTCCCCGCCTGGTATGTTAGCTTGCGCATAAAGTGAATGCACCAGACGAGGATGATAGAGCGATTATTCATCCGTTCGATGTTAGGTCCACCATTGCCCACGTTCAAATGTCCATCAAACGGCCATTACTACCACGTGATGTCCATCAAGCGGCCATTACTACCACGTGCGCACAGACAGACCAGTCCGGCTGGCGGACCGACGAGCGTGGACGGGGCGCACCGACCGCTCTGTCCGGACCCGACCCCAATCTCGGCGCGTGCGCCCGCCGGCTACTCACCTGCCGGATCATGTTGACGCCGAGCCGCAGCTCGCGCAGGTTGACCAGCGGCTCGAACGTGCCGGCGGCCAGGTTGGCGATGTTGTTGCGCGTCAGGTCGAGCACCTCCAGACTGGCCAGCGGCGTCAGCTGCTGGGCCTCGATCCCCTGCGGCGGCAGGACCGCAGACATCGAGACAGGACCGCAGGCATCGAGACATGCGGCGGGGGCGCGGTCAGACATCGAGGCGGGATGAGTCGGCAAGGCAGCAAACGTTATCACGAAGGGATGTGGTATGCTGTGAAATGACTAATTGTGATGCTTCGATAAGTTGCGTAGGAATAACAATGATTGCCGCGAGCGCCAGGCGATATCTCCATCCCCAGATATTTTGTCCAATTCAAACACGGCGCTCGCAGCTAGAAATGTAAGACTCTAGGTACTTAGAAACAGAGATTCGTGCCATTTTGCAATGTTTTGAAACATTCTGCGCCGAACTCATCGTGGAGACGGTCAATGACTGCGGGTATTTACGCCGACATCGCGTAAACCAAGAAGGGCATGGTTTCAGTTAGGGACATTTGCTTCGCTTCATTAAGTTTCAAGTGTATCCAAGGCCGGGCTTGGTATGCTGGATACGCTTAAAATAATATAAAAAAGAGTGTGGTGTGCTGCCATCAGTGGATGGCTCGTTGTGTTGCGATCCGACGCCGGTACTTAAACAGCTGTCAGGCACGTCGTGAGGCGGTGTTTTGCGACGTTTTCGTCACTCCCCGCTGCGTCATCTAATTTCCGTCGGTGCTGGCTGCCTCCAAGGGCGGCGCATTGTGACGGGCGGGCCGGCCGGCGCCGAGTCACCCGGGTGTGCACGGCCTCCCGCCGACGGCCGTCGCCAGCTGGCTAACGTGTGGCCAGTCCAGTTTTACCGCAGTCATTCAAACAGGCAGAGCGAGTGGCAGTTATTCGTCTGGCACGCTCTCGGCCGCCCGCCTATCAAGCCTGCGGTTGTGCCGCGGCCCAGATGGGGCTCGGTTGGCCTGCTATACATGCCGGCAGGAAAGTAGCCTCGTGGCGTTTGTTTGTGGCGTTTCCCACGGATGCGCTTGCCCCGTCGCAACTGAAGAGCCTGAAAGCCGACCACCGTTTACCGTTCGGCGAGGCGGGCGACCGCGGAGACTGCGGCGACGCGGCGTCGGTTCGCGCGGCCTCTTTTCCGAGGAGACGGCCGAGGAGATGTCTGCGACCGCGACATGGGACGCGCGCGGTAGTGCAGTCCGCTCGTGAGAGAGACGCGGTCGCCCTCGCCCGCCGTGCCGGGAGCATTCCTCTCCTTCGCGACGCGGACACGGACAACGGCCCGCACTCGGCTGCGTCTTCGCCACGAGCGATGTTTTGAGCACATGCGGGACGAAATGACGCGGAGTTTCTGGTCGGCCCTCCGTCGACTGGTGCGGTTTGTCGCACAGCCGGTGATTGCGTGCTGGGGCGCCATGTAATGGGTGCCGGATTTCACCCGGCTGTTGTGATTTTGAGCCCGCTCGGCTACAGTCCGTCGTGACGCACCTGAATGAGGTTGGAGTGTAAGATCAGCGTCTTCAGCTGCGTCAGCCGCCGGAGTGCGTTCGAAGGTATTGACGTCAGGAAGTTGTTGCTGATGTCAAGATGTTCGAGGTCCTGGAGACCAGCCAGGTCGCTATCGCCGAGCTGTAACCAAAGATGATTTTGTGACGTACAATATGGTGTTGTAGGACTCGTTCATGACGATTATTTTAGGATTCAGTTCGCAAGATTGGGCTGGAAGTTCCCGAATATTCTCATGAATATGCGGTTCACGTGACCCCTTGGAATTAATACTGTGCGGAACATGCTGTACCTAAGCAACATTCAACATTATATTATACCGGCTGACATAAAAACATTCATGTTGACACAAATCACCATCGTTACATGCATTCCAGATCGCCCAATCATTCACCAACCCGCAATCTAACGATGTTGTTCCTGTAAGTTCTCATTAAAGTCAGTCGCATGCAACGGCCTCCGAGTTAACAACAGCCGCGCGCAAAAAGTGGAATCAGTGGACACCTTGACCGCGTTCTGACCACAGCCCCGCTATGAGCTTACACCCGGTAATGACCGACAGGCCCCACAGACCAGCCCGGTAAATGGAGCGTCCATTAGGGTCACCGGGCGGAGACGAGCCAGGCCGGCCGGTCGTGGTAAGACAGCACGGACGGGAGCGGCGACGCCGTGCCGGACGTGCCGTCCATGCTGCGCCCCGGCCCGCCGCCGGCCGGGTCCGGCCTGCGCCCGTCGCGGCGACCGCGCGCGGAACGCGGCGGAGGCGGCGCTTTCTCGCGCCACTTGGAAGCGGCCGCGCCGACTGGGCGACCGATTCCGCGGCAGAGGCGCGGCCGCAGCATCGGCCGCCGCATTGTGCCGATCACGGCGTGGCGCGGCGACTTTCGTTTGACCCCGTTTGCAGGCGGCTGCCGACTGTTTGCCGGCCGGGACGCGCGGCGACGGCCGTGGGAAGCCGGCCCCGGCAAAATGCGCGGGCGCCGCCGCCGCGTCGCGCGCGGCCGTGCCCGACGGTGCCGCGTCACTGTCGCGTCCCCGTTCCTCACGGGCGCCAGAGGTCCGACCAGCGCCGCGCGCTCCTTCCGGGGCGGCTCCAGCGGCCGCCTCGTGACCCTGACCTGGCCGCTGGCCTGGCGAAGGTCGTCCGGCCCGCACGCTGTGCCGCCGGCCACGGTCGTCCGGCGGGCGTTTCGCAGCGTGCCGACGGCGGCTGACCGAGCGCACCGGCGTGGCGCCGTCACCGCCTGTCAAAGTGTGTCGTCTGTCCGGCGGAGGGCGTCGGCTAACGGTTGCCGGCAGATCCCGTCCCCGCAGTCTCGGGGCTCACCTGCTGCAGCTTGTTGTAGGCCAGGTAGAGCCGCTTCAGCTGTGCCAGTCCGGTGAAGGCGCCGAACTGGAACTTCCGGATGCGGTTGGAGGAGATATTGAGGAAGCGCAGCGCTGGCTGTTCGAGGAATGCGTCCGTCTGCACCTGGTCTGTTGACATGCACGAGACAGGGTGAGTCAGCTGGCGGCTTAGAGATGTGACTTATGGGACCGTCCCGCTGAGCAAGGCGCCTACGGTAGGGGGCCCGTCCACAGCTACTGTGTCCTTAGACAGGAGACAGGACGGGCCGGGTCACAACACGTGGACTCAGGTCACAAGACAGGCTGACTCACTGTGGCTTCCGTGACCACCCGGTACGCAGACGAGCAGGAGGCAAGACGGGTCGGGTCGCGGCACATGACTCAGGTCATGGGACAGCCGGGCTCTCAGTTCGGCGTCCGTCTGCCGCGTCGTCGTGCCGCTTGTCAGCCGTTTGTGCAAACGTGACCGGTCGGGGGAGTCGCCCGATACCGGCCGAGTTCGGAGCTCTGGGGCGTGCGCGCCTGTGTGTTGAACGTGCATCTGTGGCGAGCACAGGTGGCTGTGGGGTCGATGGGCCGGAAAACGGAACACGCCCAGCGCCTTTTGTCTGTTCGGAAGCACCGGGGAGGAGAAAACCAGCCATTGTTGCGGCGTTTAAGGTCATGCTGAACGGTCGTGACGTGCCGCTTTGAAGGAAAGGTGGTTTGGCAGACATGTAGGTGTTTTTATTCGTGTTCTAAAAATCACTGCGTGATGTTCAGAAAGAAGGCGATGCTGCTGCCATTATTCTCTGTTGCGCGCATGATGTACTTTGTATGCTCCGCCATGCTTGCACTTTCCCCTTAAATTACGACGCTAAGTCAGTAACCAGGAGAGTTCGTGGTAAGAAGGATATTTACGGAATGCTGGGCGTGTGTTTTCAGGCCTTCAGGCCTTGAGTCGGATATCACCTTGATTATTGTTTTGTTTGCTTTTGTGACGTTAAGTTGATTGGGGTGGAATTGGGGGTTGCTTTCCGGAAGCAACCCCCACTGCAGTCGAGCGCCGATCGAATCCGAACAAGACGGACGGCTGAACACCAATATTGCGATTGAGAGAGGTACTCGGAATTTTTTATTTTCTTGATATATCAACACATGTGGAACCATGTATGTGCGACCAATGATCGACGATCGGTTTCTCCGCCCTAATTGAAGCCTGTTTCCCGTAGCTCTTCATCTCCATTACTGCCATTTTTTATCTGACAGACCGTTATCCCCAACCTTGCCCTGTGGCCGTTTTATGCGCTTCTCTGATAAGGGTGCCAATTATTTTGCCCTGCCCTTTGATTCTGCGTTTACGACTCGCCGTCATAATCCCTATGCGGCGCCACCGCAGAGAGCGTTTTTGCTCGGGCCGCTCTGTTTTTACCACGCGTAACTCCCAGCGTCGGGCCGCAGACCGGCACGGCCAGGCAGGCACCGCCAATTAAAAGTCATAAGCCGGCGCGCGCCGCGCTGCTCCATCGGAGCGGGCGGCGCGGCCTGTGGCCAGGCGCGGCGCGGCGCGGCGCGGCCGGCCGGCCGGACGGACGGCAGCGTGACCCCGGCGGCCGCGGGGTCACGGGCGCCCCGGGCAGCGGGGCGTTGACCTCGGACGGAGCGTGGCCGGCCGGCGTGCCGCACCGGTCCGCCCCGCTCGCTGCCGACCCCCGCAGCGCCAGCAGGGGGTTTGGAGCACGTCACGCGATTGATATGTGCGAAAATGCAGCTGTGCGAATCCAGAAGTGCGGCCTAGCGCAGACAGTGAATAGGCCCGGACTCGCTTACCAATTGTGGTAATATGAGGTGTCTGTGGCGACATGACGGCATCGGATCCGTGCCGCTGTGCTGCGCGGCGGGCGGCTTAGCGGCAAAGGTGACCGACTGTGGCGACGCGACGGCATCGCATCTGCGCCGCTGTGCTGCGCGGCAGGCAGCTTAGCGGCATAGGTGACCGATCACACCAGTCAGCCGATGGCTGGGCCAGAGGTGGAGTGGGACCGCCAGTCGGCTGTGGTGAAGGGCGGGTAGCTGACCGGGCACCGGTCGAATCCGAGCAAGCACTCCAGACGCGTCGACGCTGGCCGCCGGAGAACGCAGACTCCGAGCCAGCACTCCAGACGCGTTGACGCTGGCCGCTGGAGGACGCCTGTGCCATCGGAACTACTAAAACGACAGCTCGTGCTTCAGCGGTTGGGGACGCCGCGTGATATCCCACTTGAAGACCCCGGACACTAGGTGCAGAGATCCTTGATTCCTTCGGAATATTCTAACAGTTTATTGTTATCTATTTGCGTCTCATCGCCAGGCGTCAGTGCCGGATTTAACGCCTCACTGCTGCAGATCTATCCGCGAGATGGTTTTGCAAAAATGCTAGCGGACGCGTCACGGCGTGAGACCGCGGATCGCCGGCCCAACGGATCCGTCGCGGCTGAGAAGTGTGGTGTTGACTTCTGCGCAAAACCACAACCACCAACTCACGTCACTGCTGTGACGTCAGTGGACCATCATGACAAGACAAACGTTAACAATGTTTCCGAAGTTCGTGCTGTAGTTAGTTCTTCCCACACCTTAATGGAACGAACGGTTCGGAATGCTTTTATCGCTCACAAATGCATGCCGGTGGTGGCCAACTAGTTCTTTCTGGATCTAAGCAAGACAGGCCTCAGCCTGCCGTTTTTCGGCAGCATAAGATCAGAGATCAGAGATCAGTCAGCCTTCAATAAATAAGGAGGCACGGGTTAACCAAACATATCGAGGAACCACTGAAATATGTTACGATAATATTCGATGTCCTCTACGTTCCTAGTGGTGTCGATGAGCACTTCATTAACATTGAGTTTTCTCATATCCCGAATTTTGTTCGTCTAGTGCATTGCAAGATATTGCAATTGCGTAATCAGATCATGACAGCATTAATATCGTGAATTCAGAGCCTTAACGTTGAGTTATCGACCTATTGAAGGCGGACAACCCATCGTAAGAACTCTGAATTCATAATGTCGAGAAACCTGGAACTGAAAATCTTTCTTATATCAAGAACATGGATACATCAAGCTAAAATATTTTGGCCAGGCGCAGTGCAAAACGCAGACGTAGGCGCAGACCATTTAGCCAAACCCATAGATACACCGAGTTCGCAGCCAGTATGAGCTGTTAAGCATAAAGATGCGTACGTGTGGGCAGTCGTGTGACGAACAAAACCCGCGCGCATGAAGGCAAGCTTGATGCCATGCAGGACGGCTGAACGTTGCACGCAATACGGTGGGGCGTACAGTAGCACCCCTCGCTGACCATGCGGCCTGCGCCCACCCAGGCAGCACAGCACTGCCGTGCCGCCGATACCCGGCGGCCATGGGCTGGCCAACCACGGCTGTGGACGCACGTCAGCGCAGGGACCGCGCCCGAGACAAGCGGCCCTCCGCTGTTTGGTCGGGCAGCACACGCGCCAGCGGTGCTCACGGGAGACGCACAGCGGCGACGACGCTAGTCAGCTGACTAAGTTGCCATTGGACAGCAGGTTTGCGCACCGACGCTGCCACTCGCTGTTTTGACTGTTGCTAATTTGGTACTATCACAACGGACGTGCCCACCCGCATGGCGGGTGTGTTATGTGCAGCTACTGCGGTCGGGCGCCGGCGGCGCCGCTCTCCTGTCCGCAGGCGGTCGGCCGGTCCGCATGACTGTGCGCGTCACGCGTGGTTGCGCGTGTCACGCGTCACGTACGGCCGGCAGCGGCACTCGGTGCGTGACAGCGTGACGGGCATTTACAGCGTGGACGCTGCAGAGCGAGGTGACATGGCCACTTCGGGACTCACGAATGTGGCTTGTCGGCGGCCGTTTTTTTCGGCCGCATCTTAACTGGGACTTTTTCAAGAAATGGCTTGGCGCTGATTGCACAGACCTGAGAGACTCGGCAGGCTGATCTGCACGGGGTGTTATATGTGTTGGGCTGTTATTTGGAGCTATGTGAAGTCTATCATCGTGAATTGCTCTGTCCTTGCCATCTGAATAGCGAAACAAAGATGAGGCATCAAGAAAAAGCGACGGCCCAATGACTCGCTTCTATCAATACCGCCATATGCTTTCGACGTTCAAGGACATAGTCGCCTTTGGGTGGAGAAATGACAGCGTGCCGGATGACAAGCTGACTTTGCAACAACAACAATCTGTATGCACCCTTGCTTGCAATGATATGTGCTCATTTTCGAGTGCGACCTCGTATTATGGTGCATGACAATCAAAAACAAAATGAACGCGCATTTAGCACGGAACGAGCCGGGTGATTTGGGCTGGCCAGAGTAAAAAACCGGGTTCTTGGAATGCGTGTCATGAAAAGCATGGTATGAGAACCCTAAGTGGCAGAGGATGTGAACGCGTCGTTGCACGTCAGGCTATCGCTAATCCCTTTGCAATGGATGCTGCCAATACCGCAACGCAACAGGACCAGTGCAAAACATTTCCACATAAAAATCATTGTGTTCATGTAGAGCTTAGCAAACATCAAGGCTTTACGAACGCCAAAAACCTTTCAATCGTCACGTATGACGCCGATCGGCCATCTCCCACCCACGCTCAAGGGCGCTCATTGCTGACGACTTCGCGCCAGTCACGAAACACATCGGCGTCCGGCTCTGTGTCCGGCGGACAGCGCCGATCGCTTCCCACGCCAGCGGCGGCCGTCGGTTTGCGGTCACCTCCTGTGCCCTCTCCCCCCCCCCCGTCCCCCGGGCTGGCCCGGCTCCGGAGTCGGTCTGGGGGCCCAGCCACTCACCTATGTGGTTGTCCTGCAGCGTGAGTACGGTGAGCGCGCGCGGCCCGGCCAGCGCACCGCTCGGCACCGTCTCCAGCTGGTTGCCCTCGAGGCGCAGCACCTGCCGGAGAGGGGGTCGAGTGAAGTCAAGTTAGTTCAGAGCAGGTCATATCAGATTAGATAAGATTACAGTACATTACATTAGATCAGATCGGATGAGATCGTATCGGGTCAGTTCGTGTCAGGTCAGGTCAGATCAGATCAGATCAGATCAGTTTACTTCAGTTCAGTTCAGTTCAGATCAGATCAGATCAGATCAAGTCAGGTTGCGCGATTTAATGAGCACCACGGGGCTAACTCGGACGTAGCACTTCGGCCGGAAAACAGAACAAGAAAATGGCGCGGCGAATTGGTGTCGCTCGGACAGGGGTCGGCAGCAGCCGCCAGCAGATCGTCCGAAGGCGAGACTGTTTTGGTGTCTGGTCCGTGACCTTCCCAATGAACCGAGGTGACCCGGAGTGGTGTTTGCGCCGTGTTGACCTCCGTTTGAGCGATGCCCACCCGTGCTAGGTCACCCGCCCACTGGTGACGGGAGAAGGCGGGTGTGTGTGTGTGTGTGTGTGTGTCAAACCAGTAGTGAGCTGGTGGTGCAGTCTTCGGTAGGAGGGCGACTATGGGTCATGTGAGCGAATCTGTCAGCCACGATTCGCGATGCGTTGAAATGTCCTGAGAAAACTTGCAATGATTTTCATTATTATAAGCACTGACATTTTAGTGCATTGGCCTAAAGCACTTCCTAAAGGTGACGATAAGGTATGTCAGGAAACAAATAAAGGAGGGTGACACAATTTGGTGGTCAGTGAATTCTAAAATTCTTTGTTATAAGCGTGAGGGAAAACTTGAGTTGGTGGCGGGACCGGACGGGTTTCCCCATCAGACCTCGGCGGCGCGTGTCGGGGCGTGCGCCGATCAGCAACACGCGCCGGAGAGCGCGACGCGCAGCCGAGAGGCGGAACACACACTGCGAGCCTCGGGCGAACAATGGCTCCGGCGGAATCGAACCGAGCCAGCCGCCGGCGATCAGTTTCCGACCGATTGTGCGCGATGACGGGATGTGCGCTCGAGCCCGCCGGCGGCCGCTGTGTGGCTAATGATCGTCGGCAGTGGTTTGCGCCGGCCGAACGGACCGTTACCGACGGCTGCGTCTCGGGAGCTGCCCACGAGCCATTGTCGGCAGCCGCGCGCCGGGCGGTGCCGCCGCCCGCGCCGCCCACCCGCGCCGCCGGGGCCTCGTCTCACCTGCAGCTCCTCGCAGCCGTCCAGGATGCCCTCGTCGATGACCTTGATGCCGTTGCTGCGCAGGTCGAGGATTTTGAGCCGCGTCAGGCCGCGGAACTCGGACGTCGAGAAGATGGGGTTGAGCTGGTCGCCCAGCTGGTTGAAGCCGAGGTAGACCTCCTCGAGCGTGTCCTCCAGCCCGTCGAGCAGCCGGCCCGTGAGCTGGTTGAGCACATTGCGCGAGAAGTCGAGCTTGCGCAGCGGCACGCTGGCGGCGGTGAACACCTGCGCCGGCAGCCGCTGGTAGCCGACGTTGCGCTGACTGAAGCTGTGGATGGCCGCGCGAAACGGCAGCAGCGGGAAGTCACCCTGGAACACCACGTTGTCGCACACAATGTCGGTGCCGTTTTCGGCGTTGCGCGCGCAGAGGCAGGGCAGGTCGATGGGGTCGGGCAGGGAGCGGCAGGGCGCCTGCTGGCCGCCGGCGGCACCCAGCAGCAGCGCCAGCAGCAGGCCCCGCATGGTGTCGCCGCCCGGGCCGACCTGAAACGGAGCACACCTCACGTCAGTGGCACGCGCGGGCTGCGGCTGTAGGTTGGGCGCCGCGAACAGCTCTGCCGTCCAAAGGTAAAAAGTTCTAAGAGCCATTAGTTAACAGAGCACTTACGCGTTTTTGCCTTTGGACGGCAGAGCTGGAGCAATCGACGTCGCTGGCACCGGACCAGGCACGGCAGGCAAAAGGGCACACAGATAGACAGACGATCCGTCTACTCCCAGTGACGTCACCCTTCACTGGTGACGTCACTGGCACGTCTCCGGCGCGTACACCTGTCGTGTGGCGCCGCTGGTCTGCACCCGCACGCTGTCGGTCAGTGCGACCTCGTGCTCTACAGCGCCGTTCGCCGTGCAGTCCGGACCCAGCCATTTGGAGTCGGGCTGGCAGGCCGTGTCGAGCGCACTCAATCCGGCGAGTGGCGACGCTCAGTGGGCAGCGCGGCGAAGACTGTCAAGGTGGCCGACCCCTTAGCAATGGGTTAATTGTGGCTGGTTGCGCCGCGGCCTGGCCGGTCAGCTCGCCACACGAGACGGCCCCGTCCGCGCCGCTCGAGCCGGGCCGGCGCCGCGCGCACGTCCGCGGCCGGCAGGCGACGCCCGCCAACGGTACCGTCGACGTGGGAACCGGCCGCCATAGGAACGGCTCGCTGCCCCCGCGGCCGGAAACGTGGCCAGGCCGACCGGGTACACCGAGCGCGGTACACTGACATGTCTCGCCGCGGGTGGCCCTCAGCGGCCGTATTCTCCGCGCTTTGTGTCCACCACGCGCCGTTCTTTCTGAGCACCACGTCGCGAGGAGGTGTCGCAGCTCGCGTCCGACAGCGCAGCTCAGGCCCGCGGAGGCGTGCGCACCGTGGCGGCGGTGTTGCCCCGTGTCGCCGACAGAGCCGAGACCGAGCGGCGGCCGCGGGGCCGCGCCGCGTCGGCGGTTACGGGCGGACCGAGCTGGCGGCGGCGGCGGCGGCGGCGGCGGCGGCGGCGTGGCTGGCCGGCCTCCGGTGTCGACCGTTGACCCCGGCTGGCGAGGGCGGCGCGCGCGCTGGCGGCGGCCGATCGGCACTCGCGTCACGCGGAGCCGCCGGCGGTGTCGGCTCATGGCGCGGACCGGCACCGACCGCCGCCGACCGGTCGGGTCGGGCTGGCTGGGCTGCCGGCGCGCTGGGGCCCGCTCACGTGCGCCCCGCGGGAGGCGCCGGAGAGTGGCTGGGCAGTTCTTTGATCTCCTGCTCCGTCGGTGTGGCTGCTGACCCGCGAACTCAGCGCGCAAAGCTGGCCTGTGTGACATGCCGCTGGGACCAGCACTTCCAAACAAATGTCTCCCAGCCTCTACTCGCAAACGCGCTCCCAGCTCGCGATCGTGCCGCTTCAGCCTGGCTTGGGCGACCACAGCGCTGCCGGCAGGAGGCAAGCCGAGCCGGGCCCGCCTGACGGCCGCATTCCGAGCACATTGTTCCGAGCGCCGGCGGCCGGAGGCTGCCGGCCGCCAGCGCGATCGCCGCCGCCGTCTGAAAGGAGTCGGCTCCCAGCTGAGTGGGTGACGGCGGCCCGCACACTGCCGGCGCCCGGCCAGGCCGACAGACAATGGTCGAATTAGCCGTCCGCACATTGCTGTCTTAATTCGTGCGCTTGCTTGCGCGGGACGTCTGATGAATGAATGGGCTGGTGGAGATGTCCGGTGTCAGAGGCAGCGGTGGGGCCAGGGCGGTGTGGGCGGGCGGAGACATCGGCGGCTCGGCGGCTGCTGTGCCTTCGGGGGCGCGGGGAGTGGGACACCTGGGAGCTTCTGATCATCCGACCGACACCGCTTCCTCCCCGATGGCTCCAGCTGGCCACGCGGAATCAGCTGACCCTGTGATCGCTTCGCCCGATAACACCGCACCTGATCACGCCATTCTCCCGCGTAGCGCCGTTGATTACCCCGCCTGATAACGCTGACTCTCCGACTATCTCAGCCGATCACATGACCTCTCTGATCATCCCAACCGATGATGCTACCAGTCGGATCGACCCACCTGACGGTCTCCTCGACAGCCGTTTGTCCCCCCCCCCCCCCCCTCCTTCCGCAACAGCGCCGTCTCTCTGACCGCCCCACTGCCGGACCGGACGGCCGGCCCCTGCGGCCGCTCCGGCCGCTCCGCCCGGGCGGCCCGGCCCGGCCCGGTCCGGCAGTGTGCCGATTCCTGTGTGAACCTGAGAGTGCGGGCCGGTGCGGACCGGAGCGCCGCAGCGGCCGGCCGACGCCGGGCCGCGGTCTGGCCAGGCTGGACCGCGCCGCTGCCCTCCACTTCGGACGCCGTGGGCGCCACGCCAGGCTCGCCGCGTCGCCATGCGCCATGCCCGCCGCCTCCTCCCCGTGACTCTCAGCGGCGCGCGTCGTATCAGCCTCCATCTGCGTCTCCGTTATCGTCGCCGGCCTTTTGTTCACGCAATTAGTGAACTTCCCGTTGTTTACGCCAGCACGCTCGCCGACATTCCTTCGAGAACGACGCGTTCGGTGGCTGTGGTTTCCTCCCACCCGCTCATTGTGCGAGGTCGCACACCTGGAGCCTGCGGCACAGGAGCCTGGCCCAGAACTCCGACCAGCAGTCGGGGTCATGGGCTAGGCCGGCGGGCGCGCCCAGCTCCCACGCCGTGTGACAGTCGTCGGAGCCGGGTCACGGTCCTGGCCGCGTCCAGGCCGGCTCGCGAGCGCCGGTAGCATCCCGCCGCCCTCCACAGCCGTCCGGCGGCGGTCAGCACACACGCGGCCCACCCGGCCGGGCAGCCGCTCGCCAAAACAGATCGGCGGTAAACGCTCGGTCGTTAGACCCCAACACGAGACAGAAAGAAAAACAATTGTCCCTGGGCCCATCCTGGCGGCCATTAGTCCGGGAGCGCCGACGGCTGGACCGGCGGTCCCCGGCCGCTGTCCGCGCTCGTAAAAACGGCCGACCGTGAAGCTGTGCGTGGTGGCCGGCGGCGGGCTCATTGCCCTCTCGGCGGCGGCGGCGGCGGTGATTTCCGCGCGATCGCGCCCCTCGCGGCGGCGCGCGGCCGGCCCGCCGATCCGAGCCGGCCGGGTCCGTCTGACCACGCCCTGTTTGGCGGAGCCCCGCTGGGCGGGCCTGCGTCACGGCCGCCAGACGGAGCCGCGTCGAGGACGATCGTGACTGGCCGGCGGCTCGTGACGTGCGGCGAGAGGGAGGGGCGCTTCTGGAGGCGGCGGGGGGGGGGGGGGGGGGGCACGTGATGGATTGCCCGGGGAAACGCCCAGCTGAATACAGAAAGGTACAAAGGGCTGGCATTGTTTGTCCGTGCGCCGGCGGCCTGTTTTGTACGCCGCGCACGTCGTCTGCCGTTGCGGATCGGCGTCGGCCGGTAGAGCTCCGTCTCAGCCGTGACGGACAGCATCCGCGTGGTCCGCGCGGCAGCCGAGCGGGGTGGAGTGACCCCGGCCGTGCGGAGCTGCCACGGCGGGCGGGGCGACCCGGCGCCGGCCGATCGGCCCACATGACACGGCTGGCGACGGTGCTGGTGCGGCGTGCGAGCTCCGGCGCGGCGCCCGAGGACGGCGCCCGCGCAGCTCACGCCACGACCGCCGGCCTCCTCACGGGGTCGTCTCGGCGCGCCAGACGGCGCGGGGCGACGCGGGTCAGCCGTCGACCCAGGCGCGCACTTTCACCGCCGTTGGACGCGGGTGCGACGCCTGACGCGTTCGGGAGCCATTTTGAGGCGGCTGTAATGAGGCGGGCGTGCGTATTGCCTCGTTATGGGAGACAGGCCGTGGTAATGGCGGACACTTCCGGCGCTCGGTGTGTAGGAACGGTCCGGCATGGTGGCTCGCCAAGCGTACGGTTTTGCTCTGGCTGTGGGCATTGAGAACGCACTGTTTTGGCGACGCCTGAACAGGCCCGTTTATTGTGTCTTGTGCTATTCCCTAACAACTTTTGGGAGTCCTTTGGACCGTGTAAGGAGTTTTTGTCACTTTGTTACTTTTCTTTGTCTGCCTTTGAAGTCGTGGAGGCTGGCGGATATTAATGTAAAGGAGGCGTGACGAGCGATTGTAGTATCTGGCGCATTGTTTTTGCCTTTTTTCCTTGTTGATCGCTCGTTTCAATCACCATTGTGCCTACATCGTGTTCAGTATCATGTGTGCTGATAAGTTGTTAACTTCCTGAACAGCTGCAGCTCGGGGACTTATCCAGCAGATTTATGAGGTGACCCCGGTGGAAAGACGTGGACAAAAGACCACTGTGACTTCGAGTAAGTTGCCTGGCGTTCCGTATCGCAGAAATGTCCGGCAGATTCGTGACGCGCCTTTTGCGACCGCGTCACCGGTCAGATGTGTGCGGCGAAGACGCGCTCGACTGCAGCTCGACACGCTCCAGAACAGCCGGCCGCGCGGGCGGATGCTCGGTGTTCCTAGCCTTGGGCATGCCGGGCCTGGCCGGCCCGAACGGAGCTATTTGTCACGGCTGGCGGGCCGCGCCGCTGACTCCGGTGAGCTGTTCGCCCTGTGCAGGGCACCACGCCACCGTCTCCGGCTCTGCTGCCTTCAGCTGGCTGATGCGGCGCGCCGCTGACTCGGGGTCCCGCTACCCGGAGCTGTCCGAGGCCGCGCGCTTATTAGCCTCCGCTTGATCCCGGGTCAGGCTGCGCGATCCGTGACGAGGGCTGACACGGCCGTGCTCCTCAGTCGCGCCGGTTGTCCGCGGGTTTATCGTGTTTGGGACGCACCGTCGCCGAGCGTGCCGGTGGTCGGACCGAAGCCCGTGAGGCTCTCTCGCACTCCGCCGGCTGAGCTCGATTCGGTGCCGGGTCGTATCGGCGGCCCAGCCTGGCGTCCCGGGCACCGGCCACCGGCGGCGGCGGGCGCCGTCCGAAGCCCGACGCTGGGAGTGCGGCCGACCGCGGCCGCTACGGCAGGCGCGGCGGAGAGCCGCGCAGCCGGGCGCGCTCGCCACCATCGGGCGGCGGCCGCGCGCACGCGACCGTCGCACGCGCCGCGCGATCTGGAGCACGCGACACGGCCGCCGCGCCGCGCCCAACTGGGTCAGCGGCCGGCCGGCCGGCGGCGGTGCCAGCAGATGGTGTCGCGCGCGCGCGCCTCCGGACGTCTCTGTTTGGGGCCGGCCCGGCGGCGCACCAGCTGGCCGCCGCCACCGCCGTGGGGGTCCCGTCCCGCACCCGGCCAGGCTGATTACATGGGAGTGCTCGGCTCGGCTGGTGCCTTCCCCGTCTCCTCAGTCCGGCGGCTCCCTCCATCGTGCAGATAGAGCGGCGGCGGCGGCGGCGCACACCTGTCGCCGGTGTTTTGATCGCCGCCGGGCGTGGCGGACGGCCTGGCCGACCGGGCCGTGTGTAGCCGGACCGGCGGCGGTGCCGGGAGGCGTTCCGCCCTCCTAATGGCCGCGGCCCGCCACTAATGACGGGCCCCGATCGTTCGCGGCCGGCGCGAGCGGACGACGCCGGGACGCATCATCAGCCGACGGTGCCCTCCCCCCTTCCCCGTCCTCGGAACTAGGGACAGCATCGGGCTGGCCGGACCCATTCCTCTAAAAGCAATCCCATCTCAGGGTATATTATGCTCCTGTGACAGGGCTGTGTTCTTAAAGGAAAAGTTCTACCCCGGATGCGTGTTAGCTCCGTGAATGGATCTGCGGCGCAATTCTGCGACCTGCGATCTTCGGGACGTCGGTCAGCTGAGGACGTTTGACCAGCTATAGGTCGGCGCGCGCTGCCGAGTGACTCGTTGGAGCGGCAGCGATCGGTGCCGCCCGATTGGCTGACGGCACGCCGCGCCACGCCGGCAGTCCTGTCGTCGCATCACCCGCAGCTGAGCCGGGGTCTTATCGTCCGTCCGCGGTGAGATGCGCCGGGCCGGGGCAGATGGGTGGCGCGCCGTCACCGGCCCGACACCTGACACCGCGCGCTGTCAGCGGCCGGCCGCCGTCGCCCGCCTGCCGCGGCTGCGTGGCACCCGTGTCAGCGCGACGGCCTGACCGCATCGCCCCCGCCCCGGAGCTAGCCGGGCCCGTCGGTCGTCTTGTGCGCCGGGTCGATGCGGGAGCCCGCCATCGGCCGGACGCCCTCTGACTGCCGGGCGGAGGCACCCGGCGGCCGCGGACCGGGTCTGACGGGACCCGCCAGGCTGCGGCGCCGCCCCCGGCACCCGGCGGCCGCGGACCGGGTCTGACGGGACCCGCCAGGCTGCGGCGCCGCCCCCGGCACCCGGCGGCCGCGGACCGGGTCTGACAGGGCCAGCCAGGCTGCGGCGCCGCCCCCGACACACGGCGGCCGCGGACCGGGTCTGACGGGACCAGCCAGGCTGCGGCGCCGCCCCCGACACACGGCGGCCGCGGACCGGGTCTGACGGGACCCGCCAGGCTGCGGCGCCGCCCCCGGCACACGGCGGCCACGGACCGGGTCTGACGGGGCCAGCCAGGCTGCGGCGCCGCCCCCGACACACGGCAGCCGCGGACCGGGTCTGACGGGGCCAGCCAGGCTGCGGCGCCGCCCCCGACACACGGCAGCCACGGACCGGGCCTGACGGGACCAGCCAGGCTGCGGCGCCGCCCCCGCACACGGCGGCCACGGACCGGGCCTGACGGGACCAGCCAAGTTGCGGCGCCGCCCCCCGGCACACGGCGGCCGCGGACCGGGTCTGACGGGACCAGCCAGGCTGCGGCGCCGCCCCCGCACACGGCAGCCGCGGACCGGGTCTGACGGGGCCAGCCAGGCTGCGGCGCCGCCCCCGACACACGGCAGCCGCGGACCGGGTCTGACGGGACCAGCCAGGCTGCGGCGCCGCCCCCGCACACGGCGGCCACGGACCGGGCCTGACGGGACCAGCCAAGTTGCGGCGCCGCCCCCCGGCACACGGCGGCCGCGGACCGGGTCTGACGGGACCAGCCAGGCTGCGGCGCCGCCCCCGCACACGGCGGCCACGGACCGGGTCTGACGGGACCAGCCAGGCTGCGGCGCCGCCCCCGCACACGGCGGCCGCGGACCGGGCCTGACGGGACCAGCCAGGCTGCGGCGCCGCCCCCGCACACGGCGGCCACGGACCGGGTCTGACGGGACCAGCCAGGCTGCGGCGCCGCCCCCGGCACCCGGCAGCCGCGGACCGGGTCTGACGGGACCCGCCAGGCTGCGGCGCCGCCCCCGGCCACTGGGCTGGCGGCGCTGCACCGCTGCAGTCTCCGGAGACGACGATTGTGTGTAGAACACCAGCACCAGCCGGGCCGGGCCTGGTCGGCGCACGCTGAAGGCGATCGGCTGAGGTTGCGGCGGCGGAATACTGCAGTCACTAGCGGACTGGGCTGCGGTTCATCTGCGCTGCCGGGAGAATGTTGATGCTGTTTGTAGCGTGTATCGTCGGGCGGAGTATAATTGTGGCGTGTTGTAATTGGTGGTTTATTTTACGATGCATTTAACGGGTGTGGTCATTAGCATTGCAATCTGACGTCAGGTGTAGCGGGAAACCGAGCACAGCTGCACGCTAGTCGAGGAACCGCACCGGCGCGATGGCTATTCAGGGATAATACTGGGCTACGCGTCCGCGTTATAAGCTTGCACCCTGAAAAATGGAAGTAAGGCAGGGGGCAACAAATAAGACTTCAGCAACAATATGCGGTTCCGTTGTGTCCAGCATATCATTTCTCAATGAGAGCGGGAGGGAAGGGCCAGGGAGGACATTGCAGAGTTACTTAATGCTTGAGAACGATCTGATGCATAATTACAGTGCATGCTATCCCAAAACCACTCACGGAATGCCGTTTTCCGGTCACGGGTCTGCCCATGCCCGATATGGCTTCACGCCTGACAAAATTTCACGACGTATGTTCGCTTGGGAGCGTTTTATGACGTTGCACCGGAGATTGCTCCACGTCGCGTCCGTCAGGGCCATGCGACCATGGCACCGACCCGGCCGGCTCACCTCCGGCTGGCAGTCTGCAGTGCTGCGGGTGTCCACGGGCGGCGGCGCGCCTCTGGCCGCCCGACTCCGGCTCCGGTCCTGCCCGCTCCCGCCGCGCACACTTCACCACGGCCACCTGCGCGCTGCCGGCTCTTCGCACTGCCGCACCGAGCCGCCCGTCTCGGCCGACGCGCGTCCACACGTCACGTCCGGCTCGTCCTCGTATGGCGCGTCCTCGCGTCCACAGCTGGCCAGTCCAGCTCACCGCCCGCAGCCTCCCCGGCGTCGGCTCGCTCCCAGACTGCCGGCCGGGCGGCGGCGGCCGCCGCGCCCGACGGCGCCGCGGCTCCTCTGGCCCCGCCCCTGCGCGCCCCGGCCCGGCCCGGCCCGGGCGGTCTGGGCCGCCGCGGCCGGCAACGATGGACACGGACGGAAATGGACACGGGGACTCCGCTCGCTGCAGACATCATCCGACGCACCTGCTGGTGACATTCTGCTAAGTCTTTTAAGTGGGAATGCGGTGGAGTGCTTTGCAGATGTGGCTTAATGAATCAGAATCCCCGCCAGCTTGTTGCGAGCACCCTAATTACGCTACCCCGCCAACTTGTCCCACGAAGCTTTGTCGTGAGGGAGCTTAAAATTTCGCAGGACATACCCGCCTGATCCTCTTTTGGTCAGTTGCAGTAGATTGTTCTCACCGAGCCAATTATCAAACTCTGGGACTGGAACGCAAACCTTCAAGTCCGCCACAGTGTAGTGGCTGGGCGGCTGTCTGAGCTTCACCAACCGAGGTGCAGGAAGACGAATGTAATCAGGAGCACTAAATTTGTGGGCCCGAGTTACAACCTTGTTGCTAACAACATGTTAAGGGAGATTTTGTGCGCTAAACATGTCTTGTTGAGCATTCCATGTATCACAAAATGTCATCTCCTGTTTAATATTAGATCGTCGTTTTGCCAGGTGTATGTACGCTCTTACTCTCACACTCTGACCCACTGACATAATCTCCCTCACGACGATTTGTATTCTTCTAAGTGGAAGGCACAACATTGATTGAGAACATATCGCCGGCAGTTATATCTGGAAATCATGCTCACGAGCGGCAGATATGAATAATTCGACAAGTATGTTTTTCTTAGCCTTGACCGCCGCATGGCTGATGGAATGACATAATTCGAATAACGTTATTATGGCGTCATGGATGCCTGGGCGGTCTTGAAATAGTTCCCCGAAATAGTTTGCACAGCTCCGGGGGCGTGTAGCCAAGAAACTAGATTAGTTGAGGTCTTACGAGGGGCAGGACTGTGAACTGCACTAAGTGATCTTCAGGATGACTTTTTCTGTTCAAACCCCATACAAATGTGGAGCACTCCCTCCAAATAACCCCGCGCACGTTTGGCTTCAACATGGACCTTGTGTTCGTGGTACACCTGGACATGACATTACCTGAAGCAGTACTTTGAATTGCGGCAACACTTGTTTCTATAGTATTGCGACCACGCCAGCTCAACAAAACTCTGCAAAAGTGGCAACACAAATAAACCAATGGCAATTACTGTGTCCGTCCCTTTGGCTCAGTTGGTTAGAGCGCCTGCCTTCCGACCCACCCACCCGTGGCGGGGCGGGTTCGAGTCGCTTCGGGCGCTCGCTATTTGCCCTTAACAGGTATGGCCTGCGGCAGGTGGCAGCGGTCGCGCTAAAGGCCAGCTGATGTCAGTGGACAGGACGGACCGTGCCGAGCATTGCGGAACGCTAAACTTTCGCCTCTATATTCCGCCGCTGCCTGGAATTGCGGAATCGGATGGTAGGCGTCAGGACTCGCACAACAAACACTGCTTAGCGTGAGGCTTGCTCCCAGAAATCCATCTATTCGAAGGGTTTCGGATGAAATCGTTTAAAAAGATTACAAGTAAATTTACTTCCGTTGTTTGCGTCAGGAACCTCCATGCTTCTTATAATCAAAATTTTTGCATCGTTCTGAAAATAAAAATACCGGAAATCTCTTGGTGAATCCAATCCTTTTAATTTCTCTGGGATGGGAAGGCTGAGCGATACAAATACAATTGAGGAGCCAGAAATATCCATGAATGGGCAAGCGACGGTGCTGATACCATGAGACGTCCTGAATGGGACGAGGGCGCTTGTGTGATGACCGCCACCATCCACGAACTTTGAACTGCATGCGGGCACGTACGGGTCGGATGCAGCACCCATACCCCTAAACATTGAAGCTACTGATGTCGTCCATGCAGCGTCGCCCTGGGATGGTGGTCGTGTGGTGATTGCTCAGCTGTTGGTTGGCTTATGTATCGATGCATTAAGCTGGGGAGGGCGTCTTATGTGGGGTATCGCTATCCTTTCGTCTCACATGTATCTGATATCTTTTCTCACAGTCGATTTTAAGGAGGTTGTATGGTCGTGCGTCGACCATCTCTGTTAGGTTTATAGCCACCGTTGCCAGACTCGTGTGAAAGAACGCCCCGACTAATGTCACCGAAGTACGCCACATGTATCTTGCTGAGAGCATACTGAGCCGGATGTTCGGGCGTTTAGTGCCCCCGTAAACCCAGATACCCAGCTCTCGAAGTCCGGCCGGTGGCGGTGAGTGTCTCTGTAGTGGGCGTGGCACCAACCGCTATCGGCACGGTCAGGACACCCCGATGCACCCACGCGAGCACATGCTGGCCTGTCGCGATGGCCAGGTGCCGCTCCTGGCTGGCTGTCCGAGCGCGGTGGACAGCGATGCCGCAGCCGGTTTTTTACGTACGTTCCTCTTCGGCTTTCTCCTGTAATATACCGTTGTCGATGTTTGTGAAATATGCTGCTGCGGGAATTCACATTGTCCCATGACTGTCACTTGTTAGGCAAAGTTGTTGCTTAACGGCAAGTCACACGAGATAAACTACGAATTGCGCAGCGTTCGTGCCAGATGATTGAACAAGTTACAGGCACGTATGGGTGTATTAGCGGTCCGAGCCAAAAGGGAAAGCCACGCCGTTTGCGTTATTTGCGGACCCTGTAGATTCGATCGGAAACGTGCCGGCTGTGGCTACTCAAGCCACGACAGGTCCGCGGACCCTGTAGATTCGATCGAAAACGTACCGACCGTGGCTACTCAAGCCACGGCTGGTCCGCGGACCCTGTAGATTCGATCGGAAACGTACCGGACTGTGGCTCTTCAAGCTACGGCTGGTCCGCGGACCCAGGAGATTCGATCGGAAACTTACCGGACTGTGGCTCTTCAAGCTACGGCTGGTCCGCGGACCCTGTAGATTCGATCGGAAACTTACCGGACTGTGGATGCTCAAGGCACGGCAGGTCCGCGGACCCTGTAGATTCGATCGGAAACTTACCGGACTGTGGCTACTCAAGCTACGGCTGGTCCGCGAAGTTGTGCTACGATCCACCTCCGTGTCGTGGTGCAGGCCAGCGTTCTGTGTGGCGATTGCGCCGCGTTTGGCGTTGGGGTCGACGACCGGGGCCTGCGTCCCGCCCAGCCGTCCGCTGCTGCTCGGTCACAGCCCGTCTGAGGCGACCCCGCGGGCGCCGCCAGCCAGCCGGGGGGAGGCGGCAGGGTGTCGCCGTCGACTTTCTCTCCCGTTGCGTGGAGCTGACCACCCGGTAACCAAACAGGTGGCCCGGTATGCGCCTGCCGGCACGCGCCGATGTGGGTCAGTCTCGCCGGCCACGGGCGCGGTGGCCGGTCGGTGAATCTGCCCGCTGACGGGTAGGACGGGATCCAGAGCTGGCAGGTCCGCGGCCTCTGCGGCTAACCGGTCGCCGTTTTGGCGGCCCACTTCCGCAGGTTGCGGGAACGTCGGCTCCGTGTTTTTCCGGGCGCTTATCTGTCGTCGAGCGGTAATCCCGTTTGAGATTGCCTCAAGAGCCGGCCTCAATCCGCGCGGTTCAGCCAGATCCACTCGTCAGCCAACCAACCGCCAGCCACCAGCGTGACGTGCGGTGGCTAGCCGGTCCCTGTCTGGTGCGCAGCCTGAAATATTAAACGTCCCCCCCCCCTACGCCACCATGTTGGGGTGACTGCCGTAACCGATATCCCTAGCGATGACCGACTCGTACAAGTAACCGCATGGACAATGCCTTCGGTTTAATGAGTGGCTGGGAACACAGCTGTTGGCCACTGAGTAGCTTTGAGAGCATTGCTGTTGGCCACAACATGGCTGCATAAATAGCGCTGATGACTCACGTAGTGACTGTGTGAGCAGCGCTGTTTGTTGCACGACCGTGCGGAGATTGCTGCTGGTCGCTATGAGGGCGGCAGCATCGGTTCGCTGAATGTGAGAGCAGCACTGTGTGTTTGCTCGGTGACTTGGCAGCAGCGCTGTCGGCCCCCAGCGGAGCACGGCGGCCGGGGTCGACAGCAAGATCCGAAGGCTGTACCGCAGGCGGCGGACTCACGCCTGCCCTCTCGTTCGGACGTGACGCCTGGCGCGGTGCCCTCTCGCGGCACCGCGCCAGGCGTCACGACAGGCGTCACGACGGGCCAGGCGTGCTCCGTCCGTCCCGTGTTGCTCGTGGTGGGTCAGGCCGACCGCCGGCCGACGTCGGCCGCCAGGGCGTCAGCCGCGGTCTGACCCCCGGGTCCGACGCTGGGTCTGGGTTCGGGACGGCCCCTGTCGTCCAGCCCTGGGTCGGGTTCAGAGTGCATCCCAGGAGCATGTCAGCGTGCTGTCGGGATGGGGTCCGAGTGCCGATCGTTGTCGGGTTGTCGGTGCCAGCCGCTCGTCGGCCAGCTCCGGCCGGACGCTGGAGCAGTACGCTCTGTTCGACGGCCGGTGACCGGAGACTGGTGACCGGCGGCGGCCGCGCCCGCGCCGCCGGGCCGTCTCTGCATACCTGCCGGTGCCGCTCGGTGCCGGTATGGCGGCCCGCCGACCCACAGGCGGCTCACGTACGCCGTTTTTGTCGCGGCGGCTCGGGTGCGGGGGCCGACGCGGGCGCGCCGGTGGGCCGCCGCCAGTGAGCCGTTCAGGCAGGCGCCTCACTGGCGCGCTCACTCAGCAGCATCCCGAACCGGACAGGGTGTGGCCCGGATTCCGCGAACGTGCCCGAGAGGTCCGCGCTCCGCCCGTCGCCGCTTCGTTTATCGTCCGCAGCGCGTCTGCCCG